AAAGCCCTCCTCTGAGTACCCACCCTCCTAATTTCTTTCATGGAGGGCTCCCGGAGAAGGGCCTCTCCCGCCGATCTCAGGGGGCGGCTGGGCATATATGGATGTAAGCGCTCCTTCAGGTAACCAGGACCCAAGCCGTTTAGGGCTTTATAGGTCATCACCAACACCTTGAATTGGGCCCGGACTTCAATGGGGAGCCAGTGAAGCTGACGGAGGACTGGAGTCATGTGACCATAATGCCCAGTCCCCGTCAGCAGCCTGGCAGCTCTGTTTTGAACCAATTGAAGTATCCGGACCGTCTTCAAGGTTTATGCATTTGAAGGTGCTTCTATCAAAGTGCCAGCATTCGAAATCACCTGTTGGAAGAGCAGTTTTCAAATTTGGTTTTAAAAATATTCTGTGCCATTTAAAATGGAGACCTACACACCTTAATGGCCTATTGCTGTCACAAGGGAGAGGAGGACCAGCAGTCGATTGGACTTGACGGCCGAAAACCTTTAGGGCAAGCTGGAAGGGACGCAGCCTGCGAGCCTGGAGAGCAATCGGTGTGTTTGGGGTGGATTCAGATGCCTTTGCAAATAAACTGTTTGGCTGACATCTGCGGAACTGTGGGCACAGGTGCCCTGGGGCGGTGCTGGCGGATTATGCTTCTTTCATAGGTGGCATAAAGGGAGGAAGTGGACCTGGAGCACCTGGTTCCACTGTCCTCCACGAGCGGGTGGCTGTGGGATCTCCTGTGTGTGTCTTTATGCCGCTGTTCTTATTCGGCCTCCCTCTGACCCAACAGAGCGAACGTTTCCTTTCCAAACAGTGATCTTTATTACAGGGCCCATTCTTATTGTGGGAACGTTTTGCCAGCTCTCCCATCCTTTCACGCCACGGTGTTCTCTAATGCTCCCCTGTGCTTTTTTCCTTGCAACGACCTGGTTCTGCCGCGCTCTGGATGGCAAGAGGTGTCTGTCCACTGCCCTTTTTATGTTGTACTACTAGTGAAAGTGCACATAAAGCAGTGCAATGTTAAAAGGGCATTGGCCGGCAGTGCTCAGTCAGCTAAAATGCAACTTGATGGGAAGCGTGAGCTCTTTTCCTTTTCTTTTTCAATTGTGTCTAGCATGGGGGTGGGGAAACCCCGTACACCTGGGGTCCTTCAGAGTAGTTGTCTTTGTGCACAGTGTTGTTGAAGTGTTACAGCAGCCTGGCAAAGAAGGCCAAATGATCACGAGCCCCTGCGTGCTGGCGGCCCACCTGTAGCACGGCGGCAGCCTAAAAGAAGATGGATCACCTCCCCCCGCCCGCCCTCATTTGTCCAAACCTCCCTGGGCCTGCACTTCCTGAGGCAGCCCTTTCTTGTGACAGACAAGGGGATGCTTACAAGCCTGACACGCAAGAGTATGCCCCCACAACACACACACACACACACACACACACACACGTCTTCACATGGGCCCTTTCAGCCAGCCTGCGCTTGCGAGCCGTTGTGCGGAGGTTCCTGCCTGCAGCCGTGGGCTTCTCCCCAAATCCTGCACCGGTGTCTTCCACTGAGAGCAACGGACTGCGGAGGAGTTGCGAATAGCTGGACGCAAGGAGGTAGGTGTGTGTATCCGGAGGGGCGTGATTTGGCTAGGGGGGCTCCCCAGCTCCGCTTTGGAATGAGTGGGATTTGGCCTACCATGGGGAGATTGTTGGGGAACCTTGGTGATCTTACCAGAGGGTCCCCCTTTTATTTCTTGTTTGTTTTTGCTGTGCTGCCTCCTCGTTCTTACGCTTCCTGCAACGGATGCCTTGTGCCGCTTCCCTCGGAGCATCTTGCTGCTGACGAGTGCTCTGACTTCATTGCACTACTGTACTTCCCAGCTAGCAGTGCAATAGTATTGTCAAAGCACCTGCAAGCAGAGCCTGCAGCAGCAGCAGCAGCCTCGCGGCTTGTGTTGGCCTCTCCAGAGCTGTGCAAGGGGATCGAGACCAGGGCTTGGAGACGTGTGCATTTGCTCTATAGCCACTTGGGAGGGCCGCAGGCTTGAACGGGGACCACCTCGAAGGGAAGGCCCTGCTCAGTGAAAGGATTTCGTGGAGGAGGGTTCTGCAGAGAGAACGGGTCTTGCTTTCAGCTCCTTCCAGACGGCTTTCTGTCTTTCAAGCTGCCATCGATTCTGTTCATCCCCCCCCACCCCCCGCTTTTAGTCTGGCCACTGGTTCAGCCCAAAGGCTGCTCGTCACTGATCCCTAAACTGCAGCTTTGGCTGAGCAATGGCGATGCGAGTTACATCTGGTAATTTGGCAAGCATTCCCCTCGACAGAGGCTAACGCTAAACTCTGAACCAAGCTGGCAGCCCGTAACCATCTTCCTTGGTGTGTACAGAACTCATGCAATTAAAATGCTACAAAGGTGGGTTTGGGGGGATAGCTTTTTGCCAATGGAGCATGTGTATCATGGTGACATGGACACAATTCTGTTCTTCCATCTCTCTCCCCGAAAGCTCATTTCTTGCATATTTTCAGGCAAAGCTGGTCCAGCTTAGGCTGCCCTTACAGGAATGCGATTGGAGCATTGTGCCCTCCAGAGCTGATTCCACTGTTTGGGCCGATGGAAGCCCTGCAGGTGGCATATCATGAACAGCAAGCCGTTGGCACCGAGCTGAACCCTGCGGCTGTAACGGCGTTGATGGCTGAGGGTAGCCCGTTGTAGTAACAGTGGGCGCAGAATGAGACGTTACAGGTGTGCCTTACAGTCTGTTGAGAAGAGGGGGGAAAGGAGGTAAGAAAGGGAAAGATGGGCCCTCAGATTGCCAGGCCCCTGTGCACAGGTGGGCCTTGTGGGGCGCTGTCACAGGCTGAGGGCAGTCATTTGCACGGCAAAGCCAAAACGAGGGCTGTTTGATCCAAAACGTGTCTGCAGTGGGATTGTGATTGATCATTTTGGGTGTTTTAGTTCCAGAAAGCCGAATCTGATCTGGATTATATTCAGACAATGCTGGAGTTTGAAATAATGAAAGAGCTGCCTGATGGACTGTCGCAAGAGGTACCGTGCTCAGAATCACATTCTTTCTCTGTGTATTTGTTTTGAAGCACTGTTTTTGTGGCCTTCATAGAAAGGCAACAATGATCTCTCGTCCAGATGTGCTGGCTTCCTTCGGCTCTCCCACCACAAGTCTTTTTCTTATTTCCTCTGGTAACAGGAAAACCCCCTGGTCCTCATTCAGCAGCTGTCAGCGCTGAAGTCTCGTTACAGGGCACTGTGCGAGCAGCTTGAAAAGATTTCCATAGAGCGGCGAGATTCCATGCGCTCCATCCGTGTGACTCTTGCTAAAACAGTGCAGCTTGTTCAGGAGATACAGCACCACACCGGCATGGAGGTAGCGTTTTGGATTACCCCTTCTCACTGCCCGTACTGTACGCGTGTGCCTCCTACAAGCTTATTAGGCATTCCTCCATGGGAGCGCAGTACAGAGAAGGGTCCAACGAGCGTGACTGCTTGCAGGATGCAGCCGCAGGTACGTGTGGTCAGTGCTGGGCCTTGGCACTGCCCTACACAGAGTGGGCCAGAGCTCGGCTAAGCCCCGCACTGCATGCTGGAGCAGGGGTGGACACGCCTGGTAACCATGCAGCATCCGCTTGGCTTTTCCCTAGAACCAGAGGCAGTGGTGGAGTGGAGCCAGGGGCGGCATGGTGGCTCCGCAGCCGGGGAGTCAGGTGTGCCCTGCTGCGCACTGAGATGACACATGTGCTCAAGCTGGCCAATGGCATCGATGCAACTGCTATAACGTGTATTACTTGACACTGCGGCACTGCTGAGCGTTGGAAGCTCTTGCCAAACTGCTGCAAAGTCTCCCAAGCCCCGCTGGTAGATCCTAATTGGCCTCTGGTCCGCTCCAGGACACAAGCCGGGATTTATTTATTTTATTATTACAAAATACGGCAATTCCTGGGCAGTGAAATAGATGCGGACCGATTTTCTCAAAAGTGGGGAAGTGCAAAATGCTCATTCTATGAATGGTTAGTTGGTTGCGCCCAGCATGGATTCCGCATGAGGTTCTTGTGGACCTGGAGCTGCAGAAAATTACGTGGACCTGCCTAAGGAGAGCCTTCCTTTCACCTAGATTTCGCCTCTGTCTCAAGAAGAACAGCTCGCAATGCAACACTTGATGCTCCAGACTCGTGAAACAGAGGCACCAACCAAGCAGGTATTTCTGACTCATGAGATTTGCCTTTTGTGTGTCTGTATTTTTGGCTGGCTGGAGGTAGAACTGCTTTCACCAATTCTTCACAAACATGAACAGCTGTACCCTCCTGGCTGAATGCCAAGATCTTGCCCAAAATTTGTGCTCTTATTTAAACCTTCTCAAGAGCCTCACAACCAAGGAATCCACCCTTTGGATAGGCAGCAAGGTTTGATGCTTCTTTAGTCATTAATGAAATCTGGTGAAAATCTCTGAAATAGTTGATTGCTGCAGTTTAGAGCAACTTCTTCTAAATGCGAATTTGTTCTTTGAGAGGGAATATGAAATGTTTATGATTCTAAAGAACTACTGAGTGTCACATGCTTTTTTCCACAGAACTGTTCAAAGGAACACGAAATTCCCGATGCAAGGTGAAAAAACCTAAAAGGAGTTCTGCACTCGAAGCTGACAAATGTATAAATGTTTGTGCCTTTTAAACTGTGGGTTACTGTGGCTATATTTTTGTATGTAGACCCCAAAATGTGATCAGTAATTTGTCTAGGTGGTAGAGATTATTGTTATGTGGGGTGATGATACCGTATCTGCATTGAGGCTTCAGTTGCTAAAAGATGCTTGCCATCATTATGCCATAGCAATACTTTGTTATATCTACATGCATCTTTATGACCTCCTTTAAGTGACAGATTTTGAAAGTTAGTGCAAAGTATAAACCACATCAACATTCCAGAAGAATGACAGTGTAAAGAACAGAGAGATGCACTTGGATAGCTGTGGGAGACATCTCTGCTGTGGAATAACTTTCAAACAGTATTTTCTTATGTTGCACCTTGGTTATATGAAGGCCATAGCAGAGAGAGATTTCCAAAATATGCATTCCAAGCTATGGAAGAAAAACCAGTTTCTTTCTCAAAAGACTACTTCATTATTCTCCTTTCTCAAAAGACTACTTCATTATTCAGATGTTTCTACCTGATTGATTTCAGTGGGGTGGGAATTGACGACCATCTCCATTTCTTTCAGTGCCCCTGTTACTTATATCCCGGACTGCAGTATGTGCTACTTGTGCCCCTTTGCAGGCTACACAATTGATGGAAGTTCTGCATTGTCTGTCCTTCTTTCACCTTAGTGTGATGTTTGGACAAATGGTCATTTGGGGTGGTGCTTTTCGTATAGTCAAAGCCATATCTGTGAACCTTGAAACAGAATCTAAGTTTAAATATTCTCCTTCACTTTAAAAATACGTTAGGAAAAAAATAAACCTAAGTGTATAACAGCATGAACTTGTGTTCCTTTAATCTGGTTCGCTGGCCACCACTTCGGTTATTATTTTGCAGGGCGGGGGAGGGTCCAAATTACATTTATTTCCCCTCCAGCCTATCTAACCTGTTTTGTGCAAAGCTTCGAGCGTATGAACAAACAATGCTTAATGACCGTGGTACTGTGGAGAGAATATTCGTGGGTTTAGGGGAAAGTAACTGAGTGGGTTGGAGAAGCACAGTCCGGTGAATTATTTCAAGTGGGCAGGTGAGGATTCAGGTGATAATCCAGGTGACCTGGTGGTGGGTGCTATGGTTGAGTGTAAAGCAGAAAGGACGAGCCATGGGCAACCTCTGCTTTGAAGAGGTAGAAGAAAGTGCCTGCTATGCAGGCTTGGCCAAAGTTTTGTTGTAACAACCAAGCTACAAGCCTCCGGAGGCACAAGCATTGGTCCTGGAGGTGTTGCCCTGCTGATTCAAGGATCCAAGAAGCTTCAAAGCCATCTAGGTGCCTACGAACTGATATTCCAGCTGGATTTGAGTTTCTTGGAAGGTACAATGTTCATATTAAAAAACCTGTTCACTGAAACAGGATCTGCTAAAGATTGCATCCATAAGGGAAGCTAACAGTTTTAAAGGAAACGGTTCTTTTCTTTGCCAATTTGATTAAGTAGCTTATGCTGCCAAGTCTCCATTCTAGTGCAGGGTTTGGTTTTTGTCCATATGATTAGTTGAACACGTTTGATTAGTGTTGTGTGCATTTTAGCCCAAAACTGTGTGTCACCGTTTTCAGTGGGAGTTTGAGCACAATCTTACAACTTATTTATTGTTGTAAGCTGTCCTGGCATGTCTCAAAGGATGGGGTATAAATATTTATTTATTTAAAACATTTCTATGCCGCCCCCCATCGCAACAAAGCCTCGGGGCGGCTCACAACATAATTAAAAACATATAAATAATACTAAATACAATAAAGATTAAAATGCCTGGTAACATCTCGGCTAAACATTTAAAATCCTATAAATATATAATAAATAAACAATTAAAATAAGAAATAAAAAGGTCTTAGCTGGCTTGTGCCTCCCCTTCTTCTCCCCCAGAACGGCCCTCAACACTGCTTCAGAGAGACCTGTTCTGGCATCCAGGGAGGTGGGAAGGTGCTCCAAATTTGGTGTCCCAGCTCTGACCTTGGAATGCATCTCTGAGGTTGGAGCTGGGACTCAGGATTCATCCCACAGCTGCCTTAAGTCAGCATCTAGCAACTGGAGGAATGCAACCTTTGCTGAGAAACTGACAGGAAAATTAGGTGTACATAAAAGGCTAATTTTAAATAACCAGAGGGTGTCTTGTTGAAAACAAGCATTTCCTTCTAAGCGTGTGAGGGGTCTAGGGGTTTTTTTCTGGGAAGAGATTTCTGTGCATTCTCTAAAAACTGTCTTCAGAAATGCATTCTGTGTATGCTGGCTAACGAATTTTGGTGTTGGCTAATGTATGTTCTTACAGACTAAGCACTGCTACAACTTGCATTCTTCCGAGTATGTTTGGGAACGCAAAGCTGCCATCTAGGGGGCACGGCACTGCTCCCCACAAGCACCCAGCCATTTCCCCAGTGGAATAGTTGGCAATAGAAGTAAACCTGCCTGTTCCACTGTCATTTTCCCAGTGGAACGTTGCCGTTTTCGAGACGTGAGCAGTTTCTTCGTGGCAAAAATACTAGTCGTGGGGTGGACCTCTTGCACGATGTCAAAGGAGAACTGGTGGAGGGGAGGCGGAGCAGCCGTTCACCGCTCCGCAGAAATTAATGTAAACTTTGCCTTGTATTCTGAGGAAAACCCAGAGTGTGTAGCAGCTAGTCCGATCGTTGTGTTCTAAATTTCCCTGACAGAAAGGCAGGGAACTGTTGGTGGTGGTTATAGTAAAAGGCATGATTTAACACACACTTGCTCGGTTTAAGGGACGCAGACGACAAATTGTTTGTGCAAGCTAGTAAAGAAGCCACGCTGTGCCGAAAAGCTCTCCCTCCCAAGACCGGAGTCATCCCAAAGAGCTTTGCAGACACGCCAACACTTCTCAAGCGATGGAAGTGCAACGCTTCACAACGCCAGTTGGATATTTGACGTTGCATTTTAGCAGCAGCAAACAAAACTTCAGCTGAATGCTGGAGAGGACGGGCGTGCCATTGAAGCCCGTTGAAAAGCACCCGGGGACACGGGTGCGGCAGCTGACGCTGAGTGCTGGGAGAGGCGGCCTGGTGCCTGCGCTCTCTGCAGAGATTTTGGGGCTGAGCCCCCTCCATCCCCAGGTAAGGCAGCCTTCCCCGGTCCAGCACCCCCCAGAGATGTTGGCTTGACCCCCCGCCAGCCTCAGCCAGCCTGGTCAATTCTTCATGTCTGGAGAGGACGAGGGTGTAAATTCAAGTACATCCAGGGGCAAGAAATTGGGGTAAGTGTGAGCTTGAAAGAGCCTGGTATTTTTATTGGTGTTATTTATATAATTCACTTCTATTTGTTTTGTTCCTGTGTATAGCATGTTTATATGGCTATGGCTTTTACACTGTATTTAAGGTTTCGATATTTGAAAACCAACTTGAGAGCTTTGGCTATTGGGCATATTTATATACTGGATCTTGCTTCTTCTCCATTTTGGCCTCACAGCAGCAAGCAAGTTCTTAAAATGGCAAAATGTCCTTGCATTGTTACTTCGGTGGAGGCTTAGTGTGGGCAGCCTGCTGGCCCAACATTCACTCAATGGGGACTACAATGCAGGTGCGACTGGGTCTCAGGCGATCTGGGACTGGTTCCCACTTGGCCATGGAGCCAACTGCGTGACTTTGGGCCAGTAACAGACTCAGCCCAACCTGCCACAAAGGGTGGTTGTTTTGGGGGTAAGCTTGAGAGCAGAAGCAGAATTATGTAAGCTGTTTTGAGTTCATTGTAAGGAAAAAGGATAAATCTAACACATACAGGAAGTACGTTTATTCGTGTATATAATTGTTCGTTTTACTCTAATTGTACATACTTATATTTATGAGTTTCCTTTTCAATCGGCCCCGATCTCCCCTGCCTCGCGGAGTTACTCCGCACCGCGGAAACCGCCTGGCCTTCCCTGCAGGGACAAGAAAAGGGCGGTCTATACAAAGAGGCGGGGAGCGCGGACGGCGCATGCGCGGGGCAAGCCCGCGCCCTCCCGGCCGGCGCTCGCGACTGCGGCAGCGTCTCCGGAGCGGGCACGGCCGCGCACGCGCAGTGTGGCGGAAGGGGCCCGCCGGTCCCCTCGCCGCCTTCCCTCGCCGCTCGGGCGCGCGGCGGGAGGAGGAGGAGGAGGAGGAGCCGTTAGCCCGCCGCCCCCCCCCCGCCGGCGTCGCGCGCGCGCGCGGGCTTTCTCTCAGGGGAGGGGCCGCGATGTGAGCGCCGAGCGGAGGGGCGCGCGGCCAGGGACCCCTCGCGCTCGTCCCCCGAGGCCGCGCTGGGGCGCCGCCGCCGGAGCCCGCCATGGACGAGCAGAGCGTCGAGGTAAGCGGGCCGCCTCCGCGGCTGCGGGCAGGGGGCCCCGCGGGGTCGGCGCTGCCCCCGGGGGCGGGGCGGGCGGGGCCGGGGGCGCCCTTCTGGCCCCTCGCCCGCGAGCCCCGCCGCACTGCGCGGGGGGGGGCGTGTGAGGAAGGCGGCCCGCCGCTGCCCCGCCGCTGGGGGGCGGCGTCCTCCCCGCGGGGGCCCCGTGCCCTGCGCTGGGCCCTGGCCGGCTCCGGGGGAGAGAAAGTCCGCGGCTCCCGGCCCGAGAGCTCGGAAGAAGAACGCCTTTTAATCCCACCGGGAGGGCAGAGCCACATGGTCGACGCTCTGGGATCCTGCGCTCGGAGCGATCGTCCTCCCGCTGCACCGGTGGTCGTGGCGAGTCGGGGGCTGCCCTGGCCTCGGCCCCGCCCGTGAACGGAGCGCCTTTCCTTCCCCGCAGAGCATCGCCGAAGTGTTCCGATGTTTCATTTGCATGGAGAAGTTGCGCGACGCGCGCCTGTGTCCACACTGCTCCAAGCTGTGTTGCTTCAGCTGCATCCGGGTAAGTGGGGCTCGTGGGCCGGGTCGCGCCTCTTGGCGCCCCTCGGCGGCCCTTCCTCGCAGTGGGTCGCCGCTCAGTGCCACGCGCGGGAATGAACCCAGCGGACGATCTTCTCCTGCTCTTCCTCCTTCCCTTGCGCCTCATTCTTCCTGGCAGGATCCCAGGGCATCCTCCTAGGAGGAATGAAACGCCTGCGCTTTGGCAGCTGTGATTGCGGGCTGGTTTCAGCTGGCCGTGGCTGTCCGGGGGGCTTCTCTGTGCTAACAGGGCTCATATCCGAAAGCACAGTGCGACAAATGGGGGAGCTGACTGGACACCCCTGCTGCTTGCTCCGGGGGAGCCCTTGGTCGCCTCCGTGCCGGGGCAGCCTTGCAGCGTGGGTTGCTGGTTTCCGCCCCGGCCTGGGCATACCGGTGGTGTGGTCCTCTGCTCCCCTGGGGCAGGAGGGGCTGGGATTCCGCCGATGGCTGGGGCGGCTACTCCTGCTTGGTGTGTTGTGCTGTGCTGTGTTGTGCGAGTTCGGGCAACAGCGCAAGCAGTGGTGGTAGTGAGAATGGGCCCACTGGTGTCTTACTGTGCTTGTCGACCATTATTAACCACAATGGCCAACCGCGGTGGCTGGATTCGGACAACACAGCCTCCAGCTGTGTTTTTATATCTCTGTTTGCTTGCATGTTGTGGGGATTTGCTCACTGGGACAATCATTGATTTGTGAATAAAAAGCACAAACAGAAAGGGGAAGATATAGGGCTCCTGCATTTTCTGATATTTCTGAACTACTCTGGTGTTTTATAATATGCCTATTTCTGTTTGACAGCGGTGGTTGACAGAACAAAGAGCTCAGTGCCCCCACTGTCGGTAAGCCACCTCTGAGGCTGTTGTATTTAACGGGAAGAAGGTGTTATTTATCAGAGTTACTTTGCTTCTTTGTCTAAGGTGGTGTGGGCAGCTGGCAATCTGTAGGAACCAAATTATGTTGGCCCCCAAGCGGCCATACACAACTTAAAGAGCAACAACAGTGACAATTTTATAAACAGTCCACAGTTGGTTACACTGAAGAAAAGAAAACAGTTTTCAGGAGTTGCGGGAGAGCTTTCGCTACCTTAATGTTGCAGCTAGAAACCCAGGAAGCTCCCTTGTCCTGAATCAGCCCCTTGGTTCATTCTGGCTGCTGACTGGCATCCACACCTGAGGGGTCTTCTGTGCAGGGTTGCCCAGACAGCTGCGCATCAACACCAACCTCCCACTGATCAGCCCTTGGCCACAGAGAGCATATATATGCCCGAATGAATAGTGACATTGGCTAGAATATTTTTTTTTTCTAAAGAGCAAGCATTTGCTCCAAGTTTTCAAACTGAACTCCTGGAATTTCTAACTTGCAGAGCTCCACTCCAGCTCCGAGAACTTGTCAACTGTCGTTGGGCTGAGGAGGTGACCCAGCAGCTTGACACGCTGCAGCTGTGCAATCTGAACAAGCATGAAGAGAGTGAAAAGGACAAGTATGTGTGGCTGGACTGCTGTTGTTTATTAACCCTGGTGCTTTGAAGTGTCTTGCCTAAAGGGCTGCTTTGATTCTCCCCAGATCAGGAAACACATCTTCACTCCTTGAAGTGTGCGGTGTATGTATCAGCAGCTCTGTTACGCTTAGTGAATCATTGCATTTTGTAAGGTGCCAGAGAGTTTATCCCCCATTGTTATGGCTTCTATTCCAATAGCTAAGATGGAAGGTTTCAGAGATTCCAGCATTTCCTGTGAGCTTGACAGCAGTGAATCCTTCGTACTTGGTGCATTGGTGTTCTGAGAACTTTTCTTTACTTCTTTAAAGGTGCGAAAACCATCATGAAAAGCTCAGTGTATTTTGTTGGACGTGTAAGAAGTGCATTTGCCACCAGTGTGCCCTTTGGGGCGGAATGGTGAGTGGAAGCTCTTTTGATACACAGACTGCAGGGAGCTGCGCATTCAGTGCTTATTTTGTAATATGGAAGCAATGGCACAGCAATGAGCAATGATGCAGAAGCCATTTTGTGTGTTTGCTTCATTGGAATGCCAATATAGTCATGGGTCTGAGGTACTTGTGAGGTTTTTTTGTTCTACCTTTTCATAACTTGATTATGAACGTAGTTTCAGATGAATGCTGCTTGCATCTCCTTAATAGAAACACGGCTAACCTCTCCTCAAAGATAATGTCCCTGTTATTAAAATAGCTTTGCAAATAAACCCACAAAAGTTGGTAGCCTGAAAAAAACCTGACTAATCTACTGGGAGCTGGGCTGAGGCATGTATGATGACTGCTTGTTTGTTTGTTTATTTATTTATTAAAACATTTATATGCCGACCCATTTGCCGAAGCCTCGGGGCAGCTCACAACATGAAGAAAAATACAATAGTAACAATATAAAAATGACAATATAAAATAAATAACAATATAAAAGAAGTCGCCCTGGCCAGATAAAATAAGCAAATACTGTTAACAATTAAAATGACGCTTAAATAAAAAGGTCTTCGCCTGGCGCCGAAAAACAAATAACGACGGCGCCAGGCGGACCTCTCTGGGGAGCGCATTCCATAGATTGGGCGCCACCGCAGAGAAGGCCCTCCTCCGGGTACTTACCCTCCTAATTTCCTTCACGGAGGGTTCCTGGAGAAGGGCCTCTCCCGCAGATCTCAAGGGGCAGGCGGGCGTATGTGGATGTCTGCTGGGTATATAATGCTTCACTCCTCTGGTAGCCCCCTTGGTCTCTCTTGGGCACGGGGGGAGCCAGCTAACTCATGGTCTAGAATACCTTCATGTGCACGGCATCAGAACATTCACGATGCCAGGCTGTATGGAACATTAACTGATGCAGTTTAGCGGGTTGTCGTTCGGACCTCTTCTAACTGAAGCCTTTCAAACTCTAAATACAAGGTTATGTTTTGTAAGAGAAGTATGAGCACGGAGATGAACTTTCCAGTGGAGAGAGTTTTAAAAACTGTCTTGAAAAGAGGTGTAGCTCAGTCGTGAGCTGCTGTGGAAACGGAAGTTTTAAGGAGACAGAATTTTCCAAAGAAGTCTGCATCAAATATTGATGTTTCAGTCTGCTTTGTGTATGACTCTACAAGGAATCGCCTGAATGGAATTGGCCCCAGCTGCTGAGTGCGTCGTCTCTTTCTGTGACTTCTTTTTGATTTTGGTGGAACTACCAAATAACCTAAAACTAAATTTATTTTACTGCTGTCATATATGTTGTTCAATAACAAAATATTACCTGGATGACTTCCAATAAAAGAACCCATTGCATACAAAAAATAAAGCCAGTGACTCTAAACCTAAGAAACATAAAACCAGCAGTAGAAGATAAATCCAATAAAAAGACTCAAAAGAGCATCACAATTATCTCAGGTTTTTAAAATGCTAAGACATTGTAAAATGCTAGTGAGACACAGTAGAGATTTTAAAAGGTGAAAGAGTCGTGTGTGTCGGGGGTGGGGGGGACTTTGTGCTGCAAAGACCAGGCTGTCGGTGTGGAGGGCATTCCGTAACCAGAATGCTGCAGCCCAGGTGGCCTCCTTGCTAGCAACCCGTTGCTCACCCTGTTTGGCAGGGAGCTCTTGTGTTCAGCTGCTTTGTTAAAATGTTTGACGGAGAGCCAGTGTGGCTTAGTGGTGAAGAGCGTGGGACTGGGACTCAGATGACCTGGGTTCGAGTCCCCGCTCAGCCATGGAGCCCACTGGGTGACTCTGGGCCAGTCACAGACTCTCAGCCCAACCTACCTCACAGGGTGGTTGTTGTGGGGATAAGATGGAGGAGCAGAATGAGGTAAGCTGCCTTGAGCCCTTTGTAGGAAAAAGGCAGGATATAAACCAATAAATAAATAAATTTATCCTGAACTTTTTAGAAAGGAACCGAAGTCCTTTAAAACTGATTAAATTAAGCTTTGCATACAAGCTATACCTGATGTAGCTGATTTAGGCTTTTCCCTGGCACTCTGAATGCAGTTGGGGGGTAACACTGGAGTCTGAACAGATTTCTGTAAGAGGTCCGACTCTAATGGAAACCATACTCTGGGCTGGTGAATAAAGGGAAGACTAGTGTTGTATTAAGATTTGTGAATATTATTTGGACTTCCTTGAGCAAGAGAGAAGGAAGTAGCCTCTTCTAACTAGATGGAGTGAACCTAAAATATACGTGCTTGTATGTCTTTCTCATAGCATGGAGGGCATACATTCAAGCCACTGGCTGAAATTTATGAACAGCACGTGACAAAAGTGAATGAAGAGGTGGCCAAGCTTCGTCGCAGACTCATGGAGCTGATCAGTTTGGTGCAAGAAGTGGTGAGAACCCCTCTTCTCCCTGCTTTGGACATGCTCTAGCGCACTGATGTTCTCATGGTGCCCTCATCTTTGCGCTATAGCCCTGGTGGAGGAGGTGTGCTGCGTGTTCCACTGATGGCAGTTTTGCTTCACAGATTCTTCCGTAGTCTGAAGCTGTAGAAATGGACGCGCAGGGAAACATAACCTGTTTGAGAGTCCCCTCCATAAAGCACAAGAGGGAGCCGTTGAGGCTGTAAATGCAGCTCGTTACTAGCTGCACCTCTGTTCTGTGGAATGACCCTGCCTGCTGCTCGCTGGCTGTGGGGAATTGTTCAGCTGGAGGTGCCTGGGCAGTACCTGGTCACGTTTTCATGGCAGCCGGCCTGTGCTGAGCTCAGATGATTACGAGGACACTGACTGAACCAGCCTGTTGAGAATGGTAATGAATACAATGCAATAAAAATGGTATGTCCAGAGTGCCTGTTGTTGTAACAGAACTCCTGCAGGCTAAGCGGCCTGCGAATCTGTCTTTCAAGGCGTTTCCTCCATGTCTAAATGAATGGAGGGGTTGCCGGCCAGTATTAACCCCGTGCCACCCTCCCGTGTCTTTCAGGAAAGGAACATCGAAGCGGTACGTGGTGCAAAAGACGAGCGCGTTCGGGAAATCAGGAATGCGGTGGAGATGATGATTGCCAGGCTGGACACCCAGCTGAAGAACAAACTGATCACGCTGATGGGTAGGCTTGCTGTTGTCTTGTGTTAGATTTTGGAGGAGGGATCTGAATGAAATTGTGGCCTCCTTGAGATAAGGCTGAGTGTCAGAGTTATATTTTCCCTGTCCCAAAAGCGTGGTACAAATTAGACAGAAAACACAATTTATATTGGGTCCTAAAACAAGCTGGACTTGAATAGCTTGCTGGAATACAGGCATTGCATAGCGTTGTTCCTCAGAGCTCTCCAGGCGCGTTCTCAGTATTCTTTTATAGCAGTTGTGTGAGATGGGCATTATTATTCCCGTAGTACATGATAGGAGCAAGAACTGCGATCTACAGATTACCTGATGAGGCTTGGCTTTATATCGAAGCTTGAGCTCATGCTCGTAAGCAGTGCATTAAAGCAGCTTTCTAATATTCTTTAAAAAGTAGGAAATGGTGGAGAAAACCCACTCAGTTTCAATGAACTGAAATCTTATTAATGAATTTTAACCTGACTGAAGCCAATCTGTCATCTTAGCCACTGGAGTGCTTTTTTAATTTAACTAATGAATTGGTTGAATTGTTTTCTTGCATTTTTCTTAATACGTGCACTTCTAAATTCCATATTATCCCTAAATATTGAAAGCAGAGCCCCATAAGTCTTGTTTTGTGGGGGCAACAATAACTGAATTTTGATTCTTTATGTTCCTAAATAGGTCAGAAGACTTCACTCACTCAAGAAACAGAACTTCTGGAGTCTCTCTTGCAGGAAGTAGAACACCAGGTGACAGAAACAGATAGTTTGAAGCCTGTTGAGGTTTTTTGATCTGCTTTCATCTCACTAAATAAATAAGTGGATCGTTGGTTTGAAAATGGATTTAAATGGGTCACATGTAACTCCTGGGGAGAATCCTTGAGTCTTGGATTAGTCTGTCTCCTGTATTCTCGGTTTTTGGATAGGCAACCTGAAGGACAACCCACCGTGTGGGGCAGGGGTGGGGGGCTGTGATAAGAGACGGCTCTTACATTCTTCCCTATTTGAGGTGCTGCAGAAGTCCTCGTGTCCCTGGCGTAGCAAACATGCATTCTTTCCTCTGCGCTGGTTATCTTTCTTAAGGATTTGAAGTTGTATCAGCATCGCTGTCCAAGGCATCCTAACTCCTTTGTTACAGCTCCTGCAGCTCAGCTCAGCCGCAGTTGTTAATTTACTCAGCAGTTTAAAGATGCGCTTGAACCCTGTGCACGTGTGACCCAGGTCTGCATTTGTTCTCTGCTTGCTTCTCGGCAGCTCCGGTCCTGCAGCAAAAGTGAGCTGATCTCCAAAAGCTCAGAGATCTTGATGATGTTCCAGCAGGTCCACCGGAAGCCCATGGCTTCCTTTGTCACCACGCCTGTCCCTCCAGACTTCACAAGGTGCGGCATCCACGGCTTCCTCACCGGCCGGTCCGTCGTTGACGTCCCAGTCGAGCCTGAATCCCCGCAACGCTCTAATCCTGCGCGGAGGTCGTGGCGCCTACAGCCAGTGCTGGCTTGAGCTTTCTGAGGGCTCTTGAGCAAGGGATCTCCACAGCCGGGCCTCCCCACCGCCCCGCATCTGCCTTTCCACTGTCATGGCCACCAGCGGCTCGCACTCCTCCTCCTCCTCCTCCTCTTCGTTGGTGCTACTTGCTTGCTGGACTGGCAGAGAGCCAGTGAGAAGGAAGCATCAGCACCTGCCGCTGCCACCGCCACCACCATTGTCTGCACCGGAGGGAGAGACACGTGCACAGGTCAACTGTAGCAGTGAGGAGGAGGAGGAGGAGGAGCAGCCCCACGGGGCTTGTGGCAGTGGGCTTTGCTGGGGCAGGTCTCTTCGGCAGGCACCCGGCCTGCTCTGCTCTGCTGTGGCCTGTCCTGCTGTGCCAGTCCCTAGAATCATTGGTGGGAGGGCGGCGTGGGCATTGCCCTGAGCCTTGGCATGGATTCCACGTATGCACCAACGTTTGCCCAGGGGGCAAGAGGGAGTCTGTTCCCCACAGTGCATGTGGAATGGGGCGTTTAATTTGGCCCAGTGGCAAGCTGGTCCAAGCACTGCATTTGGGTCACAGTGGGAACGGCGTGACAATGACTGCCAGGAATAAATGAACTGGTGTGTGCCAGACCTGGCACCCGGTGAGGTGGCCTTTGTTCTGTGGGGTTGTGCCCGTGGGGAGATCAGGAGTGTCTGGATACTGTCCCCTCCTTCCTCAGCTTGTGAAAAAGAGGACAAGGGAATTGGGACTCCTTGTGTTAGCTGAATTTTGGTGCCCCCTGATGATGCTAGGTAGACTATTGCCCGGGGTGGTTCATTTTAATTGGATCAGTACGTCTAAGGTCATGTTCCTGTTGCTGCTGGACTCATGGTCCAACACGTCCTTTTTAAGATCTAGTGAGTGTTCTCTGGAAGTTTCCTGTAGCTTATTAGACACACCCATAAAGTGCTGTGCAACATCAGCCATGTTTTAACTAAGTGACTCTCTTACACCTGGTACCTTTTTCCTGCAGCGAGCTGGTACCTGCATATGATTCAACGACGTTTGTGTTGGAGAATTTCAGGTAGGAACGTGAGTGGCCAAGAAGGGAGATTCTTGTTTGCTTGTTTTGTGATTCCTGGGTTTAAATTGGGTGTCCCAGAAGACATAAAGCAGGCTGTTAACCTCCGTGCCTTTTCTTGCTGTGGCTGTTCCTGCTACTGGTTCATGTGGCAATACTGGCCAGAGTCTGCCTGCCTGTCCCCTCCGCCTTCCTCTCGCACTTTCCAAGCGGGAACCAAAGAGATGAGCTTGGCGCTTAACTTCGTTGCCCTGATCGCTGGAGCATCCGAATCTTTTTGGGAAGCTGGCAGCAAACCATACGGTTTGAGTGTCTGGCATTGCATGCGGGCTGGGACTGCATTTCTCCGTCGCTCCTGAAGGGTGCATCCAAGCATAGGCCAGAGCCTTCCCCCAGCTCCAAATGGGTGTGCCACTCAGAGGAAGCAGCCGGATCTCTAGGGCAGCGTGGGGTAGAGTTACTTGCAAGGAGAACGTACAGTCACGTTGCGCATGCTTGTGTGTGTGTGAAGAAAGGCATAGTGACCGGCCTGCCATGAAAGCATTTTTGGGAGTAACAGAACAGAAATTAAGAAGAGACATGATTTTGCACGTGCTGGAAAAGTACTGTTGATGAGGAATTATTCCATAGTTATTTGAAGCTGAAAACCCATCACGGAGCATTTGCTTTTTGGAGGGAAACAAGCGTCTTATTTGTGTTGAAGGTTTTGCTTCCATCTCTGTTCTGAGAGCCGGTGTGGTGTTGTGGGTAAGAGTGTGAGATTGGGACTCAGGCGATCTGGTTCTGGTCCCCGCTCAGCCATGGAGCCAGCTGGGTGATTTTGGGCCTCTCTCTGCCCAACCTACTTTACAGGGTGGTTGTGGTGATAGGATTGAGAGCAGGAGAAGGAGAATGATGTAAGCCACTTTGAGGTTTTTTTTGTTTTTTTAAAGAAAAAGGCATGATAAACATTAAATATTTCTTTCAATTGTCTCAACAGCACTTTACGTCAGCGGGCAGATCCGGTTTACAGTCCGCCTCTTCAAGTTTCTGGGCTTTGCTGGAGGCTAAAGGTTTATCCAGTAAGTTTGGCTGATGGTATTAGGAATTGCATATTGAAATCTCACCTACGACTACTGCTGCATTGTGCTATTATTTGACAGGCTATGTTTTATTCATATAAATAGCCCTGGGGCACAACTTGCAGAGATTGAGGGCTGCAGTTGGCATATTGATTGTGCCTGAAACTAATATAAGAACGCAGGGAGTCCTGAGCCCAGAGTTCTCGTGCTTGGCATTTCATGGATAACGCGGCACCCCTCTGAGTTTCCCCCTGAACAGTAGCCCTGTTGTTACCAAGTGGTCTGTGCTATGGACTAAAGATCGAACACAAAAGCCTCTCCTTTTCTGGTACAGTCCTCTCCCGGACTTGAGAATTCCTTCTTCTCAAGTGGCAGCATGCAGACATGTCTTTGGAAGTGGAGGAGGGTGCAGAGCGGAGACACAGCAGCAGTGGAGACGGCCTTTGACAGCTGTGTATTTATTTATGAATTCGGGACTTTCTTATGAGGCATCCCAAATTTAGGGCTGCCCACTAAGTTGAGTAAAATGTCAGAAATGCGTAAAAGTCACCATCCTGTCCTTCACTTGCCTCAGCCGTGCTTTCGGTCAGTGCAGGATGTTTTGAAATCTCTCTTTAGAGCTAGTAGACCCATTCTAGCCGACTAACTTGCATATTCCCCTTTTCCCCCTAAAGGATGGAAACGGGGTGGTGCGAGGCTACTATCTGTCTGTGTTTCTTGAGCTCTCTGCCGGATTGCCAGAAACATCCAAGTAAGGACAATTGCCATTTGTTTCTCTTGCATGAGGATGAGAGTGGAATCCTGTTTCACTGGACATCGCTGGAGGGGATGGATACGAGAAACTAATTAAGTAGCATGTCTCAGAGAAATACTGCTTGGGCATTTGTTTTGGGTGGGAGTGCCCTTTGAAAATTAAATCTTTCTGTACTGCAGAACCTGAGTAGTGTCTGGTTAGTGATTCTTCAAAAAAGCAGTGGAGTCTTTCTGATCCCACTGAGGCAAAGTGTTGGGCGGGGGGGTTGAAAAGGCCCTGCAGGGCGAAGAGAAATTGGCAAAAATCGCTCTCCCTCCTTCCACGCTTCTATTTGGAGCACCTGCCTCTGAATTGAAGCTTGTCCTCTCATTGAATGGGATCTTTCTGTCCACAGAACTGCAGATCCGGCCATTGTGTGTGTTAATGCTTCGAAATTAAAAAGCTTTTATGCTGAAGGTGTGAAAAAATCAGTACTCCTTCCAGACTCTCCCTGAACTGGTTACTTAGATTTTTCCAGTGTGGTATGGGAGACACGAGCTTGCCTCTTATAAGTGCCTGACTCAGTCAAAATACAGCCCTAATCATGTACATGTTTTAAAAAGTTGGTGGAAAAATTCTCTTTTATTTGGTAGGTAATGTCATAATTGGAAAAAGTGTACCATAAAATTGAATCACTAAAGGGGAGGTACAAATCAGTTTAAAAGTAATACAAATCAGCATAGATCATATTTACGTCAAATGAAATTATGTTCAGGCAAGAACAAACATACTCCTAGTTGCCCTGGCAAGACGTAACATTCTTTAAATTTCCCTCCTAGTTTCAGTTACAGCAGATGGAAAGTCTGTAGTCTTTGCTAAGCAATCATGTCTTGCTCAGACAGCAACAGATTACAGTCTAAAAAAGTCTTACATCGGCATAGAAATGTTTAATAAATAAATAAAATAAACTCAACCACTATTGCCTCGGTGCAGTATAGAAAGGGCAGTATAGACTAATGGATAACAGCTCTTCCACTTCTTTTAAGCTGCAAGAACAGATCTACTCAGAATAGGGCCTATTCATTTTCTAAAGGCCTTCTAAATCCTCTAATAATGTAGGACAAGGGGAATATCAAGGATGATTGGCCTTATTGTTGAGTATGAGTGGATTTAATTTCTGTGAGTTTTTTGTTTTGTTTTAGATACGAATATCGTGTAGAAATGGTCCACCAGTCCACTAATGATCCTGCGAAAAACATCATTCGAGAATTTGCCTCTGATTTTGAAGTTGGGGAGTGCTGGGGCTACAACAGATTCTTTCGACTGGACTTGCTGGCTAACGAAGGCTACCTGAACAGGCAGAATGACACCGTCATTTTAAGGTAAGGGAGAAGATTGCCGTGCTGGTGCTGGGGACGAGGGGTAATCGCAAGGGCCCCTCTTGGGTGGGGTGTGGGGAGGGGGCAGGAAGAGGTGTCTTGGTGTTGCCTCCTAAGCACTGTGGAAGCCCCTTATTTATTTTATCTATTAAAACATTTCTATGCCGCCCCTTGCCGAAGCCTCGGGGCGGCTCACAGCATAAAAATGGTGAAAATGTGTTGAGAAGCGCTTGAGGTGGCTTGCAGTGTGCCCCTTAGCTTTCCCAACCCCATTTGTGTTGGACTGCAAGACCCATCATACTCTGCTGGGTATGAACTGGGGATGCATAGAGCACATCCTAAAGACTAATTTTATTTTTTTTATTATGTATTGCATGTTCCATAATTAAAAAGTTACGCCTGGTCATCTCCACTCTAATTTTGATTGTATTTTTCGAAACCCGCTCCTTATTTAGCCAGATTCCAAAATATTTATATTTATGAACCTACCTCACATCTTCATTTTGGATCTTTACATGCACTTTGTGGATGGCTTGGTTTTTTACTAGTTACCGTGCATTTTAAATGCAGTGTGCTGGGGTTCACAGAGTAATATATAAAAATGATCCCCCATGGTGACAGCTTCCAGGCACTTCCGCGTCGTCTGTGTTATAACAGTCCTTCAAAGTTATACACGGCCCTGAGTGTTATGGCTGAGTGGGATGGTGCTGGAGAGCTGCTCTGCCGTCCCTGCCCGGGAATCTTGGTTACCTGTGTCAGCACGGACAGGCTGCCCTCCCTGGAATGGACTTAATTTATACTGTTAATTTATATTATTCTATGGAAGTTTATTTATGGATGTGAGCCGCCCCGAGGCTTCGGCGAATGGGGCAGCACAGAAGTCTCATTCATAAATAAATAAATGGCGCCAGCACATGCATTTCTCCTGCCTGGAATTACCTGGAGCATTGTGAGTGCCTGACCCCGCTCTCCTCTAAAGGTTCCAGGTGCGCTCGCCTACCTTCTTCCAGAAGTGTCGCGACCAACACTGGTACATTTCCCAGCTGGAAGCTGCCCAGACGAGCTATGCCCAGGAAATAAGCAATCTCAAAGAGGTAAGCAGCCTGAGTGTGAGGGATATTGGTTGTCAGTTCGCCGGCTGTGGGGGTGATGACTGTTGAACAGTGAAATCACAGCTGGGCCTCCTTCTGTCCGTTAGGATTGTGAGTTACTGTTCCGGCACTCTTTTCTCTTAAGCTGGGTCAACCTGCTGCCTCTGTGCATTGGGGTGTTGGCATGAGCCAAGGCAGAGAAGTGTCAGACCCATCTAACCCTGGAAGAGGCCAGTGGGAAGGCGTTGAGGCCAGATCAGTGAATCATGAAGGGAGGCAACGGGTGATCTCCTCTTTGGGTAGCGAATCCTGACTCTGAGGAGTATTTAAATCCTAAGGCCACCTTATGGCCCTCCATAGCTTCTGCTGGCTGTGGCCAATAGGAGCTGTAGATTAAAACATACAGAGAGCCACAGTTTATCTCATTCTCACATTTATAGCCTATATGGCCAGCACACCGTTTGGGAATGACTGGTTTAGAATTACAAAATGCTTCTACTTTAGATCTTCTTTGTTGCACTGTATGCTTCTTTGTCTTCTTTGTTGCACTGTATATTTTTTCCTGTGTGCCTTTTTTTTAAATTAAGGGGCTTGCGATCACACTTTCCCGTGTCCAGAAATCCCATGGCCTGTTTCCTCCAGACAGTCACCTCAGTCCTCAGAGTGATGATGCTCTGGGAACAAGACCAAAAAAGTCGGGACCAAACTCAGAAGTGCTTCTTGAGACGGTGGCCAGCACAGCATCGCCCAGGGATACAAAGGAGGAAGAGGAGGAGGAGGAGGAGGAGAAAGTTCAGTATGAAGACTTCAATGTAAGACTCCTTATCTTGTGCTCCAATATTCCCAGTCAATTTATTGTAATGAGGAATGTTTGTGGATCGGCCTCTGCTAATGGAGAGCAGGTTAGGGCATGATCCTCCCCATGTTTAGATAGAAGAAAGTCTTTTAACTTCCAGCATGCCCTAGCCATAGTCAGTCGGACAGGAAGGGCAAAATACCCCGAAAACAGTAACCAACCTGTTTTACTATCTGATAACTTTGTTGTTTGAATATCAATATAAATTCAGCTTTTCAGGTTTTGTTGGTGAAGAGAACCACCCACTAATGCTGTGCGGTGCATAACTGCCTCCCCTCCCCAAATTTAGAAAAGCCTCTTCAGCCACCTCCATGATTTCTGAAACATCGAAAGGCCCCTTAGGTGCCCCTGAGTCTTCTTGCGGGAGATAAAGGAAGTCCAGTAGGACACCCAGTTTCTTCTTCCTTTAGCCCATTCAGGCAAGTCGTTCACCATGCGGGCTGCTCTTGGCCCTGGTTTCCAGGGCAGGGGGTTGCGCCCCGTCTCACATGTTCCTGCTTTTCACAGTTCCTTTTTTCCATTTCTGAAAACGAGCCTTTCTGTACATACTGTACGCAAGTGTATATTTCACCCAAAGCCGTTTCGCCTGCTCCCATTACAGCATGAGCTCTCGGATGGGGATCTTGATGTCGATCTCGTCGGGGAGGAGGAGGCAGCAAACAACCTCAACGGCAGCAGCTCCTCTGCCAGTTCAACAGCAACCAGCAACACAGAAGAGAATGATATTGACGAGGAGACCATGTGAGTGGCAGGCAGTATTTCCCACTGCTTCCTACAGAAACCCCCAAACCTTCGGACAAGCAGTAAACTAATTAGACTGGTACTTTTCCTTGTGCTGCTGTTTTGTTTTGTTTATTTACTGTAAAGAACCAGTTCAAAAGGACTTCAAAAGTCATTTTGGGGATTAACAAACATACAATTTGTCGCATTTTTTGCAGCTTTTTTGAATACTCAGCCTCTGAACCTGGGCGCTGTAGGTTAATTGTGGATGAAACAACCACAGTTATAGGTTAACCGTGAGCTGTTTAAGCCACGATTAACCTATAGTGCCTAGTTTTGGTTATCGCATAGCAACCCCTGATTCACTTGACTGGGGGTTGAATATTTAAAATGGCTACAGAACATGCCAAGCATGTTAATTAACCCGCAGTTTGCTGCTCGCTCATGAGAACGAGTGATTCCAGACCCTCTGTTGATATGGGAAATCTCACACTGCAGCATTGCCTGATAAATGGATACCCAGCCTCTGCCGAAAGGGAGGCTTCTGAAAAGAGGATTCTTGTCCCTTCCCTGGGAAGTGGCACAGTCTGTTCGGCTTCATTCTGCTGTATTCGTACGCTGACCTTCTGTGTCTAAGACTGTGTTCGTCAGGCATGAACTAGCAGTTCTGTTCCACAAGAGTGAATTTGTTCGCCTGTTTAGCTAAGAATCCATGCAGATTATTTGACGGAGAAGTGCTTTGTTGAAAGAGCAGCTTAACAGGAGCTCTGTGGCTTTGCTGTAATTTATTCCTTAGGTCTGGGGAGAATGACGTGGAGTACAGTCACAATATGGAATTAGAGGAAGGAGATCTTGGGGAAGAAGCGGCTTCTGCCACCGCGGGTGCCTCAGGTACGGGGTCATCTTTTTTCTCCGAAAAGGACATCTCTGTTTAGAGCCTGCTCCCCCCTTTCCTGCTTGCCATCAGTGCCACGTCAGAGGGAACGCGAAGCTCTGTGTTTTGTGGGATTTTCTATTTTTGGAACTGCTGCATCATGTACCATGTGTTGAGTATTGCAGTGTAGGGCAGACTTCCCATTGGCTCACCGTCATGAGGGAATTGCAGCTGTATTTTTTTAAGACCTGAAAGCACATCGATGTAACATTAGCACATCTTTAAAAAAATAAATAAATGTGTCCTTTTGGGTAGAGCTGGGGAGCAAAGATTCTCTTGTTCATCTGCTGTTTGTGCCTCTTCATCCTCGGAGGGTTTGACATCAGAACAAGCAGGATGATCTTGCTGCCGTGTGTTTCCTTATTGCAATGGGAAGGGGCAAACCGAGTGAACGTCTTAAGCATCGAGTGGTGATCAAATTCAAAGGAATGTTTCCTTGCACTGAAAACTTGGCAGTAATTCAGGCATAGGGTGGGATTTTTTAATGATGGAAGGCACCTTGCTTTCAAGTAAGCACTTCAAATGCCAGTGCAGATGAATTCTGTTGACAACGTTACAAATAAGCCTTACACATGTCTGTTGCTTACCCCTGAGAGTTGAGCAGGCACTGATGATCCTGAGCTGCATTTCTGAGAACTGTCTGAATCCTATTGTTGCTCAGATAGTAATCACTAGCTCATGACAGGCAAATTACACCTCCGATGGAATTCCTTCTGAGGCAGGAAATTAATTCATATTTAGCTGATTAATACTACCCCTTTTACAGGAACACAGATAGAAGTAGAATGTCTGCAGAACTAAATGATTGATTGTGTTCTCTGGCTGCTGCTTTGTAAGGATTTGCTGTCTGTAAAATCTTGCCTCAGTGGTGTCTGTCTAAAACCCACTCAGTTTGAAAGACTCTCCCATTCTGTTAATTGCGCGTTCTTAGTCACCTGCTTGAGCGAGCTTTTGATAAGAGAATTTGGCTTCCCGATTAAATTGCCAACAGCAGGCAGGGGGGCCTGTTCCTCCCCACCCCGCACTTCCGGCAGAGTACACCACTGATCCCTGCCACTACATGGCAACCCCCCGCGTGACGCCAGAGAGCTGGCTGTTGCCCACTTGGCCTCTTCTGGCTGCCTGCTCATCCTTGCACGTGTCTTTGGTCCTCCAGGGGTGAACCACAGCTACCCTGCTGGGAACAGTCGAATGTCCCGGCGTGGAGGAAGCTCACTGGGCTCTGCAGCTAGTAGCGGCTTGCTGGACCTCGATCCCTTGATCTTGATACACTTGCTGGACCTGAAGGACAGAAATGGGCTGGAGAACTTCTGGGGCCTGCAGCCGCGCCCTCCAGCGTCCCTTCTGCAGAACAGAGGTGAATGGGGGGATCTCGGAGCAGGCTTCCCTCTGGGCAGACACTGCGATGCCTCCTCTTCTGTTACTCCTTGTTTGAGATACGGTCTCGCAAGGAATTGTGGTTTCGCTGGTGTTTATTTCTTGGATTTGTAGGCCACCTTTCTTGCAAACATCAATAAAATCTCCCTAGTGTTCATTTGCAGCACTGGCGCCCAGGGCAGTCCCCCTTTTGAACCTTTAGAAGTAAATTCCCTTCCTAATCAGTGGTGGTGATAATTCCATGCAGTATGTTCAGGACTAAGGTGCAGGTCGCTAGTTTGATCTGATCATCGACGCTGCAACCTCATAACAGAGTTGCCTCAGTGGTTTTTAACGTGAAGCGACAGGATCCACGTGGAAATCATTTGGGTAAAGCTTTCTCTGCTAAAACTGTGATGTTAGACTTGCATCTGGAATAAAGAATACCTGCTGGAATGGATTTAAAATCTAAAACCTAGAAGAGGAGGTACATGAGATAGAAAGTGGGTTGTTGGAGCATTTGTCTTAACCCAGATCGTAAAATCTTCATTTACTGAGCTTGTAATGTGGCAATTGGCTCAGTTTCTTGTGGAAGAAAGGAAACTTAGTCAAGAGGTAGTAAGTTGTGAATAATGAGGAGGAGTGCCATGGAGTGCTCTGCCTCATTCATCAGATGTGTGGAAGGGAGTACCCCTGGCCACATTCTGAAAGAAAATAAAAGGATGGAGAAGCTGAATGGAAATTAGGCCTCCTCCATATCAGCTGGATCTTGGAATCTGCTATCAGTCTGCACTTGTTTTTATAAAAAGCCTCATTTGGGCCTTTGGGTAAGAGACAATTTGAAAAGCAAGGAGCCAGGTGGTTTCCCCCTACAACTCCCCCCCCCCCCCGCTGTTAACCATGCTGGCTGGGGCTGCTGGGAAGTGCACTCCAAAATGTCTGAGAGGAGCCCTTGATATTTTTGAAGTGTTTAAAACATTAGTTGTATCCTGGCCTTAGCAGGAGACGTGGCAGAGGAAAAGGTGGCTGAACGGTCCGTGTCCTTCTCTTACCACAGACCGGAGAAGGTCAGCTGCTCCTCTTGTTCAGAAGGAATCCGTAAACAAAATCAAACCTCATAAATAGACTTGGCAGGATTTGCATTTGTGTTTGGGGCAAATTGGCTTGGAGCCACAGATAGCTTGTTTCAGGTCACTTTGAAAGCATTTTGTTGACTTAATAGAGCAGAAGAGAAAACGACGATCCATCTGGTATACACGCTTGCCGATCTTCTCTTCGAAAGGAAGGCATTTGCCGCGTGAGCTCTAAAGACAGGGAAAGAGAGGCTGGACCAGGGCTCCGTTGCCGAAGCTCTGCAAAATACAACAGGCTTCGTGCTTTCAGGAGGAGGAGGTGGCTTGCACGGATATGCGGATTTCTAAGGAAAAGGCTGCAGGCAGGAGGACTGCCAGTCCAGGCCCCTTCGAGTTTAGCTAGGGCTGTCTGTGGTGATGGAGAGCGACTCTGCCGCAGACAGGGCTGCTGTGGAGCTCATGGCTCTTCTGCTCCTCCTCAGCGGGAGGTGCCAGCCAGAGGAGGAGGTGGTCTGAGAAAGGGCTTCTGCCTTGTTGGGATGAAGATGGGAGAACGGAATATGGCAAGTGCAGGAGCAGAAACGAGAATCCCGATCCATGCCCAGAGGCCCCTTCTTGGCGGGAGTCTGTGCGTCCCCGTTTCCCTGCCACTGCCGCCAGCCCAGGGCCAAATCTGATCGGGTTCCAGCTGCATTCACTGGGTGACCTGTGATGGGCTGGGAGCGCCTCAAAAAGAAACCCGTCGAGGCAACCTGTTAAAACGTGCAAAAGAAACCGCCGTTGAAGGGAACCGTGGCTGCAGAAATGCCTGCTAATCAGGTGGTCTTTGTGGGAAACCCCTTTTTACCTCCCTTTAGACCACTTTTTTGCCCCGAAATTGTTCATAGCTAAAAATTGGGCATGGTGCTAATTTTAATGCACTATGCCAAACATTTCTTTTTAAAAAACGTATCTGCTTAGGACGCCGCACTGCAGATCATCCACATCTGGCCACAATTGCTGTGCTCAGAATAGCCAAAACAACATCTTGTTCTTCTGTGGATGAGTTTCTGAGGACACCCAAGTGTTCTGGCAAGGTGTGGGTTGCTAGAGGGTGGGCAGGGGAGGAAAGACAGGCGTGCACCAGGGAGAGGTGGCAAGATCAGGGGTGGGGTACAGGGGTCCGTCCATACAACAGGTGGCTGGGCAGCTCCTCCACTGATGACTTGGGGGCCGACGGCGGGGTTCGTGCCGTTTTTCAAGTCGGGGTGGACTAGCAGGGGTGACGGGGACTGCAGTGTGTGGCTGCTGGACCACATTCTGTTTCCTTTTCTAAATGGCCACTTTTGTCGTAACTGGAGGGCAGGAAAGGCCTCGCCCGATGCCCGGAGGGATGCCGTGTGCCCGTTTCCCAGGAATGTTCTCCAGTCTCTTGACTGTCTCCTCCTTCCAGCTTCCTATTCGCCCAAAGAGCGGGATCAGCGGCGGCACCAGGCCATGTGGCGGGTTCCACCAGACCTGAAGATGCTGAAGAGGCTGAAAAGCCAGATGGCGGAAGTCCGCAGTAAAATGTCGGACGTGAAGAACCAGCTGTCCGAGGTCCGGAGCAGCAGCGCCACCTCTTCTGATGGGCAGGCCGTGTACTCCGTCCCTGGCGACCAGGCTGCCTTGGCTGCGTGTGGGGCAGAGAGCTACAGCAAGCTGCAGGATCTTGGGCGGGAGCTGCTGACACGATCCTCCCTCTCCAGCTGCTACATGCGTAGTTGTAAGTGGGGGCGGACTCGGCTGCTGTTCTTGTAAGGCAGGAATTGTCCCGCTGCCTGGGAGCAGATGCTTGCAGTCTTTTCATAGCCTAAACACGAACGTGCCCACCCTGTCAGTAAGGCGCCAGAAGAGCTGGCAGTGTGCCATCATGGTTCCATGAAGCCAGGGTTAACGTCACCCTTTCCAGGGAGTACACGGACGGGTTTCCTTTCAGCGAAGATGGAAAGGGCTCCATTTGCATATTACAAGGACAGTGTTCTCGTTTGGGCATGCGGGGTGAAGGTGACGTAGGCCAAAGGCCGCGCTCTCCACGTGCATGTTAGTATCATGCAGGAGAGGCTAGTCTGGCTTTCCCCAGCCTGGTAACCTCCAGGCATCAGGCTGTGATTCCCAGAGGCCCCAAGGATTATGGGCACGGTAGTTAGCTCATTTCCGGAGGCCCCAAGGTTGGGGAGGGCTGGCGAGGCCTGCATTGCAGCAGAGGCCGGTGCCACCCCAGCTGCTCCAGACCAGCTCCAGGAGCCTTCCCCGCTTCTGTATTCTTGTGCGGCCCGAAAGGACCTCGAGTTGCCGGGAGACCGCTGGGCAGCAGGCCTGGCAAAGAACGCCTTCATTAGAAGGTGCAGCAGGCATTCATTAGAATGCATGTGGAATTCCTGGGGCTGGCCTGTGGATGTTTACAGCGTAGGCCCTTTGTTCCAGGGGAGCTGAATTGTCCCTCTAGGCTGCCACTGACTCTGCTGGCTGGCAGACTTTCCCAGGGCCTCCGGCAGAAGCTTTCTTTTCAGTACTTCCTGAGGACATATTTAGCGCGAGACACCAAAAGCGGAACTGTGCAGATGCACATGCTTCAGGGAGTGCTCTCTGTTCTTCCCTCTCCCAGAACTTCTGGCTGGACTTAATCAGCCTCGGTCTTCCTCAGCCTTTTCCAACCGGGTGCCCCCCAGAGGTTTTGGTCTGCACCTCCCAGCACTTCTTGACCCCTCGGTCAGGCTGGCAGGCCCTCCTGGGAATCGCGGTCCAGAATATCTGGACGGTACCAAGTTGGGAGAGCTTGGCAGAGGCAGCAGCTGTGCTTCAGTGCTGGACTTTGGGTCCTGAATACCTGGAGAAGTAGCACGCAACTCGCGCTAAGCGATGGGAGCGGTAGTCTTGGCAAGTGAGCAGAAAACACGAGGGCTTCACTGAAGGAAGGAAACGCCCGTGGGAATCTTGTTTTTAAAACACTGCGGAAAAATGTGACGATGGTGAACGGTTGTCTGCCTTCTCCAGCCCAAAAAAAGAGGGGTAAGCGTGGGTGTGTTTTCAGATACTGAGCATACTTAAGCTTATGTTGTTTCCATCATTGTAGCCACTGGTAAGAAAAGCCATTCAGCCAAGGCTGGTCGAACCGGGGCAGCCGGCAGCCTGTCCCTGCGCAGAGCCATGGACTGCGGCGACGGGAATCCTCACTTGAAAGGAGACGGCCAGGTTTCCTCTGAAGGTATGTTCCTCCAGGGGCCCTGCGGTGGCAAGACTGCGAGCGGGGCCTGCCTGTCGCTGGCACCCTCTGCGGCGCAGTCTTTGCGCATCGCTCTCGGCAGATCTGATCCCACAGGCTCCCATTTGGACCCCAGATCCTCCAGACATGCCCAAGTGTCGCTTGCTGCTTCCCGCATTGCCTTACGGGCTTCATCCGTCGTGATGGTTCGGGCGGCGCCTCGACAGGTCCGCTTTACCTTTCTGTAGGTTGCCTGGGGAATCCGAAACCCAGCAGTCGGCGTGGCTCCCCCAGGTCTTTGGCGAATGGTAATGTCTCAGAGCCGTTGTCCAAGTCTGAAGACAGGCAGTGTGAAGTCCCTGGTTCTGACATGGACGCCTCTGGTTTAAACGGCGTAACTCCTGTGGACAAAGCCAGGAAAGCGGTGGCTGTGGGGTGAGTTTCATGCATTGCTACCTGTTCCTAACTTTTTCAAGGAGGGGAGTATACTTTTCGTCCCCTCTTGCTGCTTGCATGACATATTTTGAGGGTCCATCTTGTTCCCCCTCCCATTTTTCACTCTTGGAGATGCTCCTTGTTCTGCTCTTAAAGCAGCCTGGGCCTCCAGGACTTTCCAGTGCTGGTTTTGCTGCTGTATCCAGGAAACCAGCGAACTTGAAGGGCTAGCTCGTGTTTTTCCGGCAAATGTTGTACTCACAGAATGGGAAATGTGTGGATCCAGAAATAGTGCAGGTTTGCCTGCTTTGTGATCAGTCCTTCCCGCTTTACTTTCCAAATGTCGCCGTTAAAGGATCGCCGCAATGCGGTGAGGTGTCCTGTGATCGAAAGGGGTGGTGCAGGGACAGTGGGGCTGTTGCAGGTCAGTCCTTCAGAGAGGATGGAGCCACCTGCGCTGGGGAAGCGCCATCCCCGCCGGCCTTGGCGACCATGGTCTGCCTGTATCAGAACAGCCCCAGCACCTGCGGTCCCTTCGAAGGGACAGCCTCCGAGATTCTGGACAACGCGATTCGGTGCCGAAGGGCAGGCAGCGGCTGCCTCGTAACTGGTTGCCGCCCCGTTACAGGTCCAACTCGAGTCGTTGCCGTGTGGAAGCGGTAGAGTCGGCCGACTTGGAAAACGGCGCTGAAGCTGCAGAGCTGCCGGAGGTCCTCTGTGACAGACCCACTGCAGCCCGAGAAGAAGGTATGCCTGGGGCCGCCTGGCCCGGGCGTCTGACACGGGATTGGCTGCTTGGGCATGTGCCGTGCTCTCGTGGGCCAGAGACTCGCTGTTTGGCGGGGCTCAAGCGCTGCGGAGCGAAGGCAGCTGGAGCCGACCCACAGAGCACCTTTTCATGGGCTTCCGCTCCTGGCATTCCTGACGCGTATCGGGAAGGCCAGCTGCCACTAACTGGAAAGCTCGGTGTACTGAGCAGCTTGTGGGGAGGGCTCAGTTCAGATTTATGGCTTTGATTTCTGTGAGCCCCTCATTGGCAGCTGACGCTTGGTGAGGCGTTCTTATCGCTGCTTTGGGGCATGGCTTACAGTGGGCTTCATGATGGGGAGACCCTAGTTTTCCCTTTGGAAAGAAGACTCCCTGGGGTGCCTCAGAGTGAAGGCAGGTCTCCTTTTGAGTCAGAGTGGATCATGCATTTGGAGCTTTCTTGCGTATCTATCCCCCAACCACACGTTTTCTTGCCAGAGTCTGCCTTCCACCCCTGCACTCATTTGAATTTCAGTCCGTGAGGAATTCATGCTTGAATCTGGGGCTGAAGTGCCAGCGTCCCTCCTTATCTGTGCCGGGCAGTCTTGCAGAGGTGTTTTAGATGAAGTGTCTGTCGCCAGCCTGAAGATTCTTCCTTAGTCACTATGCTTCAAGCACTGTTAGCTCATGTGGCTTGCCCTTTGCAGGAGACAGCAAGAACCAGGGGAAATATTTTGTAAAGTTGCGTAGTTGCTTTTGGAAAAGGGAAGTGGAAGCAGCTGGAACCGTTTGGCTTTTTTGTAACCATGGAGATGGAGAAGGTTCTTGCTGCTTTTAATAGACACGGACAGAGCAATTGGAAACTTGGTGTTTAGCATGTTGCCCTGAACGGGGGGAATCTCACTGCTGGCATTTAGATCTCCCTTGCATGTTCAGCAGGCCAGTCTTCCTCAGTGGAGCCGGCTGACAGGTCCTTCAGTGCCTCGGGGTAAGTCTTGTGACTAGGAACCGCTCCCGTGGGACTGTGGATTTGCAGGTCCTGCTGGGAGAAGCTGGTCAGGGTAGATCTGCTTAAAAGGTCTGTGGCACTTTTCCCAGAGTGGTTCGCCCTTGGCCTGGCGGCCGGCGAGCGGGCTCGCTGGCTGGCTGGCTGGCTACCAGCTGTGGAAAGTGGCTTAAGCAGTGGAGGCAAAGACCATCCTAAGGTGGATTTACTGAAGTAAGAGTAAACAACAAACAAAAACCCTCAACACATGCAGGCGCACTCACACAGACTAGATCGCTCTTCAGCGAAAGCAGCATGTGGCTAAAAGCACCATCAGAAGCACATGGATTTGGGAATAAACAACTCAGATGGGCGTCAGTGAGTTGCACTTGTTAAGTGCCCTGAAGACGGAGTTGCAAGCAGCACGTGTGGAAATACAGAGTAAAGAAGGGGCACAAGGCACTACGGCTGCAACTCTCCCCTGACACAAACCCCAGGGCGCTCACCCTTTCGCAAGTTGGCAGCCAAAAATGGCCTAACCGTTGAAACATGGAGGACAGAAAAATGGAGGATCAGAGGTCTCTCTTGACATCTAGCACGGAGGGACTTTTTCAGACCAGCAGTGGAGGCAGGCAGCAGGACCAGCAGACTTCAGAAACCCCACCAGACTAACTCCCATCTCAGGCCTGGAGATGCTAAGGAAAGATGCCCCAACTCAAAAAGCAGTAGCAAAGGTGTCGTAAGGGGAAAAAAAGGCTGGAGGAGTCCAAGGAAGTTGTCCCCACAGTTGTAACAAGACTGGCTTGCTAAGGCAAGGGTGGGCAATCTGCAGAGCTTGGCTTTAAACTCCTGTCACTTGTGCCAAACATTTGAAGGGACACACATTGCCCCCCCCCCGGCTTAAAGGGAGAACAAACTGCTCCCCCAAGAAGAGAAAGCTGGTGAAGAGACTGGCCTGGCTGGAACTGAACACCCCACTCTGCCAGGGAGCTCATGGGCCCTCTGGCTGTGGTTTTCTGTGATTCTCTGCCCTCTGGCTGTGTTTGAGTCACCCGAGGGAGCATTGGGGGATGGGTCTGTGCATCCACAGGCCTGGAAAGGGAGTGAGAAAGACGAGATTCCGATTGACTCCTCTGCTTTGACCAGGCAGTGGTGGGAGGATGTGTAAAATAGCTTGATGCTGACTTGGTTTGCACCGTTTTGAACGACCTGCTTTGGAATATTGCTGGAGAAAAGCAGTCACACTGGTGCACTGAAATTAAGCACCTGCTGTTGGTCTGCAGCGGAACGGCAGTGCTCTGGCCTCTTGTGACTTCCTAATTTGGTTGGGTCTCGCTGGTGCCAGAACGAGTCCTCTTCTGAGGCAGCATGGTGCTTTCTGGGCCCCGGGAGGCCAGAGTGGCCCTATAGAGGAGTGTTGCAGTCCCAGGAGAAGGGGACAAGTCTTTTGGCTGCTTCTTGAGAGCCATTCTTGGACTCTGAGCAGCCTGTTTTTCTCTTGCTGGTTGCAGCTGGGCTCTGCCAGAAGCATGTCCTTCACCTCCTGCCAGGCATGAGCAGCGACAGCGACATTGAATGCGATACAGAGAATGAGGAGCAGGAGGATGCTGAAGCTGCCGGTGCTACTCCAGATGTCTTCAGCCAGGCTTTCCAGGGCCAGCCTTCAAACAACGGTAGGAAGACTTCCTTGTAAGGACCCAGGCCTGCTGAATCCCCGTGCTTAGACTTTCGGAATTACTTGGCATGCCGCGGTTTTGTGAAGCAGCTCCTTCCCCTCGTTTCTCTACCCTTGTTCTCACTCGCATCTTGCACTGTCTAGGTGTGCATCATAGATACAGCCCCTTGATTGATATGTCGTGCCCTCTTTAAACTCTGAACTTGTTTCGTTTCTAGCCGTGAGCACCAGAAGCCTCACACTTCCAAAAAGAGGCAGTAGCGATGTGGTTGGCTGAGGTTTTCCAGGCAAACTCTGGCTTTGGAAGACCGTTGCCTTAGCAACCACACAGGCAAATGTCTTGGTCCCTTTCCTCTTCCACGGAAAGGACCGTATCCTTGATTATGCAGCCCGAATGAGCGCGGGAGGCTGCTTCTCGCAGGGCATTTTCCCTTAAGCCGCATGTACTTGCAAGGAGCCGAACTCCCGGAAACCGAGTCACCGTAATAACGTGTTACTACTGTGTGTTCGTCACACACATTTTGGAAAACCAAGGCGAGAAGCTTGTGTATTGCATTGCGTCACATTCTGCGTTTGCGGCTTTTGTGTGTTGTTTAGAACACTTGACTTTTAGTGTGTTGTGTTTCATTCTAAACTTGAGCTGTTTGTGCTGCCTTTCAGCCTTGGATCTGTGTTCACTTTTTCCCGAGGGTGACCAGAGAGGCCCAGAAGACCTTCCATTTTCTACTGGAAAAGACAGCATGAGGTAAATGCCAACGCGACCACTGCTGCATTACTGTTTTTAACGTGGTGCAGGCTGGCTGGGAGCGGCAGCCAGCGTCTCTTGCTCTGAGTAGGACCGACGGGAGAAGCTGGCCCTTGGACTGAAATGACTACTAGAGGAACTGCCATCCCGTGCCGGCACTTTTAGCAGTCCCCGGGGGCTTGCAGACCTGCCTTGCTCTTCTGCCTTGTTTGCCCAAGGGGGTTTGTGGGTGAGGGAGAAAGGCCGGTGGGACACATTCTGGGGCAGGTACACGTCTTGAGGCCCCCTCTGTTTGCGAACTGGGACCCTCGCTGTGTGCGGGAAGTTTTGCTCACGCCGAATCGTGGCACGGCGGTTCCGCCCCAGTCATCTCGCTCCTGGAAGCGTTTGGCCAGGACCAGAATGGTTTGCGTTGCTTTCTTCGTTGTTGTCCTTTCTAGTCTTGGGGCTGCTGATGCAGGTGCACCAACACCTACCTCTTTCAATGTGTTCTCTCTCTCTCTCTCTCTCTGGCCCAGGTAGAGCATTTTGCAGCAAGGGCTGCTTGAACTTGGATGATCCATCCCATGAGCCTGTGTGTCTGAGGTGGTACAGCATCACGGGCCCTTGCTTAACTCACCTGCACTGTTTCTGGTGATGCCTTCCCCTCCTGCCCCCTTCCTGCCGAACTTTTTGTTTTTCGGATCCTGCTCGGTGTCGCCCCACACCTTGCGAGAGCCTCAGCCACGCTCCCCAGTGGCTGAAGTATTCGAAGGACAGGAGGAGGGAGTGCCTGCTGCCACTCTTTCTAGAGGGCGTGAATTGACACTAAAAGCACCGCACTTGTGAAGATGTCTCCACGCAAGGGGGGCTCCTTTCATCTGCCCCCAGCTCCCCTACCTCCAGTTGATCCACTTTCGGCCAATGGGCAGCACTCATTGCCAAACCCTCTGGCCATTGTGCGTTGCATTTGCGCTGTTCAGTGTGCCCCAGTGAAGCTGTTCTGAATCGGCTGTTTGCTTCCAAGCATGAGTTCCTGTGTAAATGTTAGTTGTGTGCCTTCTGAGTGCTGCATTAACAGAAGGATTCATCCTTAAATGGTAATGTTTTAATTGTTGTACAAATTCAGAGAGTTGAGATGGAAATGGTTTGCACTCTTTTAATTAATAAAATGAACATGGAAACAACTGTGCCCGTGCAGCTCATGCCCCGACTAACAGGCTGTAAGGGAACGTTTGTATTGGAGGGGGAAGGTTCTTCATCATTGGTGAGAAATATTTGCTGGACTGAAATGTGTCGGTTTGGAGAGCAGAGAGGCTGCAGGGCTGCAAGCAGCAAGCCATTTTTTGTGCTTAGGGACGCGTGGGAAGGCTTGCGACACGAGCTAAGCGTTCTTTTCAGTTTCGGGTGTTGCACCTTTAAAGCTAGGGCTCTTCAGCGGGTTTGGCGGATCCCCTTAGCCTCCCCTCATCTTAAAAATGGTTGTGCCTTCTGTGAAAAACGGAGAGGTGCCGTGCGTGGAGCACGGGAGACCTGGTGGATACCCTTCCTCCAGGATTCCTTTTGAAGCAGCCTTGCTGGCACAGGGAGTGAAACAAAGGACTCCCCGTGCCCAGCTGGCTGTGAGCTGATCTCCCGCCGAAGGCATGCTTGGCAGACCCCCAAGTTCCTCCATTCTTTCCTCATACAATTGCAGTGAAGAATGGCCCACAGTATCCCTGTCATGCTAGTGCGGAGAAACGCTCTGAGTAAAAGCATCACACAGAGGCAGTGCTAGCGGTGCATAACCTCAGTTCTGAGGAGGGGACCGAATGCCAGCTGTGCAAAATGAAGGAACCATTCCAGACATTTCCCTTTGGAAACTGAAGATTAGTTGAGAGCAAGCGGAACCCACTTTTGAACCTCCCCCTCCCCGGCGACTATTTTTTATTTCCTCTCGTTCCCGGGGCTTAGTGAAGTAGAATTGCTGGGAGCCACAACTGAGAAATTGCTATTGTTTAACCCTGGAAGTGATCTCAAGTTAAAGCATGCAAAATTATCCTCTTTCTTTTTTTTCTAACATTTGAAGCAAAATTGTGTGTTCAGCAAAATCAAAGCTTGTTCGGAAATTAGAATTTACTCATGGGGCTTGCAACAAAATGTTGCAGCACAGAGGACTTCAGTTCAGGGCATTCTGTTCCATTCCCCTTCCTGTCCAGAACAGGCAGGATTCCACACCTACGAACCAGGCTCAGAACTGAGCTGTTCTGGGGTCCCTTGAGTACTGGGGTCCCTTGAGTACTGAGCTGTTCCGGGGTCCCTTGAGTACTTTGTAGTGCTGCGGCCTTCCGATTTTCCCAAGCCCGCTATCTCCCTCTTATGAGTGTCTGGATTCTTCCTGTAGTTTCTGGAAATAAGAAAGGTCTCTTGTGCGTCTTTCAACCTAGTCAGAATACAAGTCTTCATGTGTGATTATCTCCCTTGCAATAAGAAGACACAGTTAATGTTTGCTGTTTTATTAAGATATTGGTAGAAGTTGAACATAGTCCTTACCTTTTGTGAACAGCTTTAATAAATAAAATATGGCTAATACATGATTCCTACTAAACTTGTGAGCTATAGGAACGAAGTTACTAACAGGTCCCAACACAGTAGTAAAGTCATTGCTATTAAACTGACCCACTTCATTAGTTTCCTGACAGCAAAGTATCTTTCAACGAGAGCTCGATCATACACTTGGCATTCTTGGTTATGTGTCATTTTAATAGTCAGGATGAAACTCAGCTGGTTTTCCCTCTCTAGCTTCTGCTTCTGGAAGGAAAAATGCAACAGCCGAGGGTAAGTACAATAACTTCATTTACGTTGTTAACCCATATCTTGTGTGATAACGTGCACAACACTTCTGTTTTAATACTGGCTGCTCTAGGAGATTGATTTTTAGTGTAATGTGAGAATGACTTAGAGGGTTAGTCTGTCACTTGTACTTATTCCCTGACACAGTACGCACAACGTATCTGTGCGAAATGTAACCGTGTCCTGTTAACCATCCACGCTATAGGGAAGAGGCACACGGCCCTTAACGTATAGGCAGGCCATCGCCATAGGTTCTTCTCTCTGTTCCTCTTTTTCTGCAGATGAATGAGCTAGTGCTTGTTGGAGCCAGGTGTTCAGACTCTACAGGGCTGTACCAAAATTCTGGGCAGGGAAAAGGTTGCTTGAACCAAAGCTCCAACTTGTAACAATAAACGTACTCTGCATAGTTTTTTTTTTTTCTGGCTTAATAAGAGGAGGTTCTGGGGGTGGGGGGAAAAGCACTGTGCCTTTGTATATCGGACAGCGGTATATACAAAGAGCCCGGGGTAGGCAGGTAGTGCTGTTACCTTAAACTCCGTGAAAGGGTCTACACGCGGGAGTACGAACGAGCAGCAGCTGCACGTGGTGGGGGTGGGCACCCAGGTGCTGGCTGCTGCAACCTGCTCGCAGCGGCGGGAGGGAGCAGGCGCCCCCAAAATAAGGGGAGGGGCACGCTCTTCCCCCCTCGCCCCTCTGCCTCCCCCTCCCGGTCTCGTTTAGGGGAGCGAAGGCATAAGCTCCATTTCATGGGTGGGAAAGGGGGTTAAGCCCCATGGAGGGGGGGGGTGTCATTGTCTTCTAAGTGACAAGGATGACTAATGGCACTTCAGCGTATAGATATTTTACCTTTTTGTACAACTGTTAATGCAGCTGAAATGGATGCATGGCTTCCTGCTCGGCCATTCCACTTCCTGCGGTAGGAGATGTTCCTCACGATTCAGCATCAAGGCGGGAGGCAGGAGACAGTTGGAGAGGGATTCACGGAATCCCCGTGAAACTCACAGTGAATGCGCTCACAAGCCTTCCTCGAGCAGCCTCCAGCGGAGGCAGCCCGTAGTCTCTTGCCATCACCCACCCGCACGACTTCGGTGTTCCTACACGACTCACGTAGCTGATGCGGATTGTGTGAACTGGGGGTACTTCAGCTCTTTTGGAGAAAGGGCTTGTTAGGCAAACGTCACCACTATTAAAATGCACAGGTTCACAAAACACTTTACAGACAACCAACAGTAAGTTCATAAATACAGTTATTTAGCTATATATTTTGTACATTCTTACCAGCTAGAGGATCAAAGTACAGGATACAGAACATGAAGATACCATTAACCGAAAGGGGAGCTTTTATTGCTTACATCAGCAAGCAGCAAGTAAGGGCACAGGCGTTCAAACCGAAGAGAACTACTTCCTATCACCAGTGGCATTAAGAGACAAAACACGGCAGGTCACAAAGCGCTTTTTTGCCTAGTGTGTGGAATCGAGCAGCAGACTGGACCAAGAACAGTTACTTTTAAATAGGTACTCTGCCATGGATGGGAAATTCGCCCCACGAATGGATCCTACGCACTACCACGATGTGATAAGAAATGAACACTTGCCATTTACCTGGAACAAAGGTTTGTACCGGACCACACTAGGAGTGGATGACAGATTCCCTCTTGGAAGGATACACAGGACAAGCAGTAGGTAATCCGTTTATGAATCCACACGTACAGAGTTTTGCTTCTTTAAACATGGGAGAGCATACGCTGAGGCTATGACTTTCCAATTTTGTCTGTGTTTGGGGGAAGGGGTCAAGCATCTGCCACGTTTTCAAAGGTTGACGCGCCTTCGAAGAATCGCACTTGCTCGCTCGGTGGAAGCACGCCGCTCTCCCCAGGAAGGGGCTGCACGCGCCACCTCTCCTGCTGTGACGCGTTTCCAGCCAGCAGTGGGGACGGCCCGACGTCACGTGCCGCTCTTGCGTCCGTCCTCATTTCCGCGACCACGCTCAATTTTGTAACACAATGCACTTAAGGCTTACAGATGACAGAAGTGGTAAAAGCTCGGAGGTCCTTTCCTGTTCGTTCCTCCCTCCCCCAGCATAAGTAACCCTGAGACCTTCAGCCTGCTTTATTTGCTTTTTATTCATATTCCATCCAGTCACTTTACGGAATCAAGTTGCTTAATAAAACAAACAAACTAACAGTCCAGAGGAATTTCCTAATTGGCCGTCCTTCCACTTCTTAGGTAAATTGGTACAGGCTTGCACTCGTGCCGGAGCGCATCCGTGAGTGAACCTGTTCGGTGGCGAGCAAATCTCAAGATGCTGAGCTGTGTTCAGCCCTGGGTGAACTGAATGCCTTTCGTTTCGGACCATCCGAGCGAATGTGAGCAAGGAAGCGAGCGAGAGGCCCTGTCCTAACATAGTGCCTGATTCCTGTGTGCTCCAGGTAGTTCTTTAATGCTAAAACAGCCTCGTTTTTAAAGGTTCTGTCTCACTTGGTCAGATGAAGGACAGAAACGGGGAGGCCATCCTCAAATGAGCCCATCATCCCCGGCAATTGACCGTCCAGATTCCCGGACTGTCAGTTCCTTCTGCGGTTCTCCTAACGCAGGCTCTGCCCCCTCCACGCGTTCCCATCGACTTACATGCCCAGTCACTCTGGGGGTCCCCTAGCAGCTTCGCTTCACATCCTTAAAGTCTCTTGAGATGACCATGCAAAGTAGCTGGGCCCAAAAGCCGCTCCAGCACTTGATTGTGCCAAAGAACGTTAGACTCTGTTAACTGGGGAAGCGGAACTGATGCAAAAAAGGTCTCGCAGCAACTGGCTGGCGCCATCAGTTCACAGGGCAGCGTTTTTTGCATCTGCACTAGCTTGATATCAGTTTGACACCTGAGATAAAAGGGACTGGGGAGGAGACAGTGGCGAAAAGAATGATCCACAGCTATTATTAAATGCAGACAGCTCTGACAGTATTACTTTTCCAGTTTAAAAGACTAAAATGTCACTAAGCACCCAACCCCCCAAAAAGCCCCCTTCTTCTAATAGTTTTAACTTGAGTCACAGGAAATAATCTTTAAAAACTGCAAAACATTATGATTCCCTCATTCTTGCCTACGTTGCAGAGGGCAAAGCATAGTTAAAGGTCGAGTTATACCTTGATCTGAGTTTTACTGGATAAATAGCTGAGGCGGGGAGTGCTCAAGTGCCGGATTAAACCTCTGTATGGCTTTTAAATAATATTCCTGCAAAGCACCCTACGTCCATATTTTTTTTTGCCCTGTTAACCTTAAAGCCACCCCTCCCCCCACAACCTGGACTAAGTATGACTTCCTGTTCCCTTCGCACCCCACTTACAAAACCTGACATCTTTTAAAACGGGATCGCTCTGAAAATACTGCAGGTATATTCAGGTATACCTCAAATTTGCTGGTTTTGCATTTTTTTTTTTTTTTTTTTTTTTTGCAATCTCTCTTTAAATATAGCACTTTTCTATCTAGTCCAGTGAGTCAGTAGGCAGTATCCAGTTCCAACGAACAAATGAAGCGAGGGACGGGGTGTGAGAGAACGAATGTGTCGGTGAAACTGCTTGGAGACTGGCGAGCTGTGCCAGCCCTTATTTTTTTTTAGATTAAACACTTTTATTCCTAGGATCTATTTACACGGAGAGTATTCCACCTTCACGTGGCTCTGCGGGGCTTGCTCTGATTTACTCCTTGCTCTGTGAATGTCTAACCTAGCTATTCGGAGCAGGGCGCAGGAGCAGGTTAATTCTTACAGCTCCAGAGCAGCCAGGGGTCTGCTATACAGTGACTTTGCCTCAGCATCAGCAGGATGCGCTCCCCCTGGCCCGGCTGGCAACTAGAGGACCCCTGCCAGAGGCGGCTTCTCACTAGCTTGCTTCTACGGCCGTTCACACTGCTGGGAGAAGGCAGAACTAATCCTTCGGCGTGGGAAAACGGCCTCTGCTCAAAGAGGAGCAGGTGGAGCTTTGGCTTGAGTCTGGCTAGCCGCTGCCACCGCTTTGCATCACCGAAATGAAAGTGAGAGAAGACGGACGCTCTTCTTCCCCAGGACTTGAACCACTCGCCTTCGAGGTCGGGAGAGACGGGGGGGTTGCTCACCATGGTGCCCTCCTGCGCGGGTGCAGTGCCGCCACCGAGAAGGGCTGGGGGGTCCTGCGTGTGGGGCACGGGGCCGGCCACGGCCTTGTTCTCAGCTGGGGCGCCACGATCCAAGGTCGCTCTCTTTGGTACACCGGCACTGAACCCCTGATCCGGGGACAGGCGCTTGGCACTCTGGAGTTTGCTTGCTTCCGTTTCCCTGGCATCCAGGCCGCCAGGCTCTTCCAAGACCTTGATTTCGGACCCTGTGCTCAAGGTAGTTCTGTCTGTGAAAGAATCCACTCGCCCATCGTAGCCTAGATCGGCAGGGGCCGAGACCTGGTGTTGCGGCCATGGCCTCTTGCAGTCCCCGTGGTTTTCCTTGTCGTCGCCGCTGTCCTCTTGCCCCCCTTGGAAGGAGTTCTCCGTCCACTCGGACTCTTCGCTGGCACTCGCCGCCGTGCTCATGTCTTTGAGGAACACCACGATGACCGTGATGTTGTCGCTGGAGCCGGCGTCGCGGGCCGACGCCACCAGCTTGTGGGCCACCATGCTGCTGTCGCCGTTGTTCTCCTTCAGGTGGTCGGCCACCACCTTCACGGCTTCGTCGGGGTTCACCGTGTCGTAGAAGCCATCGCAGGCTAAGATGAGGTAGTCTTCCGATCCGTCCAGCACGGTCGAGGCGGAATCTGCATCTCCACAGATGTATGGCTTGTGCTCTGCGTCACCTGGAACGGTTGGACAGACACATCCACAGGCAGTTTAGGCCTTTGGCAAGCAGCGGCAAATCGGCGCGTTCTTTTCGCCACTGCGCTGAAGGCAATGGAACTAGTCGGCAGTTAGCGCACTGTGTTCACTAACGGAAAAACAGGCAGCCGGCTACCCTGAAAGCACTTAAGCGGGACTCCCGACTGCAGCCTTTAACTGATTTCTTCCAGCTCCTAGCTCTCATCGGCATAAAATGCACCAGGAGGAGGAAAGCAAATTAAAAAGCCGCAGGAATTACTAGCCCAGGTCATCGATTACTGGAAATCCCATTGGACTGGTAGAAGTTCAGGCCCCAGGCTTCCGATAACTCGGGCGTCGCACAGGCCGCTCTGTGCCGCTCTGGGGACAGCACGGGCGAGCTGCAGGTCGTGGGTCAGGCTGGGTTGGAGAAACAGTCGCCAAGGTGAAAAGCTCAGCTGCGCCTGGAGAACAGCTGGCTGTCCTCCCCTGGCTGTGGTAAACTCCTCCAGTGGAATCCAAGGGTCAGGCTGTCCTAGTCAGCGGCTCAGCCAGGGCTTTGGCAAGTGGCCGAAGGGAAGCCGAGGTATCCTCATCCCTCCCGCTGCGTCCTGGAAGCAGCCGCCACGGCCCCGCTCCGCTGTGCGCTCACAGAGGCTTGCCCAGTCTTGGCCAGCCCCAGCTTGGTGAGAAGCGCAACAGGTCTACACCTGCACGGCCAACAAACACCTGAGCTGCACTCAGCCGTCCAGGAGGAGACCGTCCCACTCGATACTGGTAGGGAATTCTGAAGTCTCTTTGCTTTGTCCCCTGCCCCCTTGCCTGGCAGGCGGTGCCGGCCTGTCCTGAGAGCCCTGTTAGTCAACAGGGCTGGAGGACGGCCCTGGACAAGGCATGCGCCACGCATGCTGGCCTTCTGCCTCACAATCGGTGGCCCCGCCTGCTCCGGGCCGTTTTTCGGTGCTCCTTCCTGCCTGTCCTCTTTGGCGCCAAGGGGGCGGGAACTGCCCCAGCTTCGGCGGACAGCACCACAGATGGGCTGTGCCCCAGAGGCAGCCGCCACCGCCATTCTCTTTCCATCTGCTGGACTGGCCTCGTTTGCTACGGCAGCGTACAGTGTGAACGTGGCCACCGAGCCCTCCAGGACCTCTTGCCCAGGTGGCCAGGGCCCGCTCAGGGTCTATGGGTGATCACAGAAACCCCAAGGACAACAGGAAGAGAGGGGAAATGGTGCCGAAGCCAGGTTTCCTACCAATGGCTCTGGAGACGGACAAGCTCCCGTTGACTCTCCAGGCCCCAAACCAGACCACGCAGCCGCCCAGCGCCTCGATGCGTTTCTTCTCATCCTAAAGCAGAATGCAACACACAAGCTGATCAAAGTCCTTGCTGCTGCTGGGGGTTTTCCTACAGATTTTCGTACACGCCTGCACACACACAATCAAACGCATGCCCCCCTCTCTTTGTGTAGCAGTTTTGTTCTGTTTCTGAAATCGCAACGAGCAGGACAGCTTAAAGCAGGAGCTGGAGGTAGCAGCTAGTATGTCATTGGAAATGCCGGGCCTGGCAGAACAGTCAGAAATGCCAGTCCAACGGCGCATGGCGCACAGCGGGGCGCTCTGCGCTCCCCGGGCCAGGCTCACCTCTCGATCGGGTTTATGCGGCTTCATCAGTTCCACGGCTTGGCCCCTTCTCACCAGCATCACCTGGGAGTCCCCCAGCCACGCCACATACAAGACGCTCCCTCGGATGAATGTCACAACGCCGGTGGTCCCACACCGCAGGCTCTAGGGAGAAAGCAGAACCCTCGCTTGACCCAGGCAGAAAGCAGCTTGACACACTGCGTTGTGCATTTCTGGCACACTCCAGCTGCTACTCTGTGAGAATCTCAGCCTGATGGAATAAAGACAACCAATTCTTTCCGTGGTTAGCTTACCACCATCTGATCTATTCTTCTTGCCAGACTAAATAATATGAAGAAATGTGACCAAATTATCCAGATGCAATGTTTAATTCCAGGCTGAACTCCGGTTCTTTCCCCCGAGTTCATCTATCAACATTAGGAAGAATCTGCAATCAGAGAGGCCCGATGGCACTCCTGTCACCAAATGTCACCCCCTGAAATGTGGTTACAATTATCAGAGGATTTTTTTGCCTTTTTTTTTAATCACAAGGAGGGCAGTCAGTGCTAGAACTCTGGGTAAGACAGGGGAGGGCCTTCAGCCATGGCTTGGCTGTAGAAAAAGTCCCAGTTTCAGAGGCAAACAGTTGCACCAGGACAAAGCATTGCCCAAGTGAAAATGTGTTTCCACGTTTCCCTCTTTTCCATCAGAATCTATTTAGAATCTGCCTTCCCCAAACTGGTGGCCTTCAGAGGCTTTCGGACCACAACTCCCAGAATTCCCACCCAGCAGGGCCACTGACTGGGAATTCTGGGTGTGGCAGCCCAAATGTGTCCAGAGGCTCAAGGCTGAGGAAGGCGGATTTAGATTCCTAACCCATGGGAATGTTCTGTAAATCCCCTTGCAGCTCACGGGGCTCATTCACCTCTCTGGCGGCCTTCTGCACAAAGCGCTCGTCCGTCACCCGGAAGGCTTTGCACAGCGCCTCTGCGGGGTCGTGCTGGAACATCTCTTGGTGCACCAGGTTCACGTGGAGGTGGACGGACGCGTAGATGGCCGCATCCACTCCTCCATGGCCATCAAATACTGCAAAATAGGCCTGCTCCTCTTGATCCTGCCGGGAGAAGCACACGGGCTCAGTGGACAGCGAACCACCCCGGCAGCCCTCTTCGAACTCTGAGAGGGCATCTTCAGCACGGGGGCAGAAGTCAGAGCTGACCAAGAATGGAGCGGCTGGCAGCCCTTCACAGAGCAGACTCCCTCAGGATTAGGGATCCAGACACCGGAAGGAGACGCGACTGCCATGGGCCATCTCTTAAGCTAGCCATTTTGCCGCCCCCCCATCCATCGGTCGTACCAGGCTTGTGGGTGGGCATGCCACGGGCCGCCCGTCCCCTCCCTCCTGCTCTCCCGGGGCCCTCTGGCTCTTGTGCGTCCCGTGGCCCCCCCATCCTTTCACCTCTAGGTTGAAGAGCGTGTTAAAGTCCGGAATGCAGACGTGCTTGTCCTCCATCTTGCGGCGCATGTTCTTAATGGCGTGGATGGACGTTTCATAGTAACGGTGGGGCTTTGGCTGGAGAGGAAAGTCCTTCACCCAGCTGCTGCAGATATCGTGGAGCTTGCTGAACACTACTCGGGCCAAATTCTCTGTCTCTACCTCTACGGGAGATGAAAAAAACCGAACTTTGCTGAAACTGGATCTTTGGCTGAAAGAGAAAACTAAACGGTGTCGCCGAGGCAGTCCTGAGTCCTTTTTTCCTGCTGATGTTTTAACTGAAATTCCGTCACCCGGTGGCAGCTCCTCTGCCATCAAAGGACCTCTGAGCGACGGCCTGTTGACTTACCAGCGCTTCTAAACTAAGCAATTAACCAACCGCAAAAGCAAGCCATTCCCTCCAAGTCTGAACCTTGTGGGGATGTTCTGAAATGTGCAGAAGCCAAGGCAGCCAGTGCCTTTCTCCGGGGAGGGCGGGGGAGGTGGGATAGCCGAGCAGCTGGTGGAGGAAGCGACAGCGAGTGCCCCTTTTCTGCGCTGCCGCTTTAAATGCAGCCTCCCCGTGGATAGCACCACAAAGCATCATCAATAATTACTGCTTCAGAAATATATAAATATATATTTTTAAGGAGTCCTCCACAGCCCATCCACCCCCATGCAGCTGTAAATTACTCATCAATCGTTAATGTTGCAGCGGCGAGCGAGCGAGGGCTGAGTCAGCTGCCGTGGTCGTGCTTGTGCCATGCTCCGTTTCTTCTCCCCCCCCCCCGCCCAGGAACCGCACTGGCTGGAAGGGCTGCTTAATTGCATCCCTTCTAGTTGGACGCCCAACCCAGCCGGCTCGCTTCGCCTCGCCTCGCCTCATGATGCCGGCTGGAGAGCTGACAGTGGCTGCAAGCCAGGGTGGGGGGAAAGGGGAATGGTGGGCAAATTCATCCTTAGAAATGGGTCACTTCTGCACCCCAAAATCCAAATACTCGGGGTGCTTTCTTTGTGGAAGCCGCAGCTGTAAGCATGCAACGAGGGAACACGCAGAATCGCCCCTTCCCCTTCGCACAGTCTTCCTGCGCAAATCAGCAGGGGCACTCGCCATGGGGACGCGACGTCCCCTTCCCCCTCCTTTCCGCCCCCACCTGGACCTTCGATCCACCTTACTGGGCAGCTTGAAGGAAATGTGGTCTTTAAAGGCAATTTTGGAAGGAGGACAAGCAAAGGCAAAATCCGGTGGATGGAAGCAGGCCAAGAACTGTTAAGTCATTTTTGCCTTCGACCAGTTACAATAATTATTGGTCACTGTTTTCAAATAAATGGGGAACCGGATTCCAGGCCACTTAGCCACTGGCCCTCTTGGTATCATGCCTGGTAGATGAGGGTTAAGAGGCTGGCCCATGCTGGAGTATCTGGCCCAGCATTTCGCAATTTAAAGGCATTCTGTGCAGTGTAGCAGCAAGGAATCTCCAGCTTCCTCCGATGTTTCATGCAGGTGATCAGTCTGCAAAATGTCAACATTTCCTTGGAGATTGTCAAATATTCATGTGAGTTTAACAGATCTCGATTTGGAACGAAGGTGGGCTGCTCAGCCCGATCAGTGGCAGCTCTGCCTGGTTCTCCTACAAAGGGTGTGAACGGCAGCCAAGCCTGCAAACCGAGAAATGCCGCCTAATTTGCCTTTGTTACCAACGCCACAAGAATGCCGGTTCCTCCAAGCATTTTGAGCAAAGCATGACAATGCATTTTCCGGGCTAAATGGGGGATGTCCTGCCAGCTTGCCCTGGGAGATGTTCTCTTGCGTCACTGCCAGTGTTTAGCAGAGCCCGCTGAGGGGGCGTAGGCAGCCAGACCCAAATTAACTGGCCAGTGGGAGAGCACTGCTGTCTCATAAAAAAAACAAGCGAGAAGGGAAAGCTTTCAGCCTTTTTGTATTTGACCCTTAAAAAGAACTTGCCCTGAGATCACAGTTTTGCGAGTTGAATGAATGACTTTGTTTCGGTCATAGACCCGTAAAAATGCAGCAAGTTTCTGGTAAAACTTCCCAACTATCTAAAGAAGGGATGCAGAATCACATTTAGCCAAACGGCTGAATTCCAAGAAAATGGTCCCATTGTTTGCATTTAAAGCTCCTGCTGTCGGCCTTGGGAAAGGATCCCAAACTGTTAGACTGGTGAAAGGGCTTCAGGAAAGCACCCAGCAAGAGATGGTGCGGAAAAAGGCCTCGGGCCAGAAGCTGGGAATGGGGCTAACTGCAGAACCCTGGGGGCTGAGCCTCAGGTCCTTGGCCTAGAGGAAAAGTGCAAACATGAAAAGGCAAGAACACCCCACAACAGGGACAGTGTGTGCTTCGGGACTGTGAAGCAATTGTCCAAATCAAAAGGGCAAGATGGGGGACTCCGGATGCTGCGTTTCCTGCTGTCCTCCTCTGCTGAGGGCCAAGCTCCAACGCCACAATGTGAAAGGGGTTGGGGAGGAATAATGCTTGCCCCACAACCCTCTGAGCTCGCATACCACCCCCTGGCTTCGTCGGAACATTCTGGGACAGGGTCCAGGGAAGAGTTTAAGCAGGCCGGCCCTTCTCTGGGACAAGTACCCAGAAATGTACAAAAGATGCGTCAAGGGAGGGCAAGTCACGGGAGGCTCCTGGGACTGGCTAGCCGTGAAGAGAGCAGGCACCGTGTGCCTGGCACTTACGCAGGATGCCATCCGGGCTGTCCGTGTGCTTGGGCAAGTGGTGTGCAGAAAGGTCACTCTGAAGGACTTCATCTGCCGTCGCACGTGCTAAAGCGGCCGCCAAAAGGGACGGGCAGTTACTGGAAGAGAAAAATGGCACAGGAAAATCCAATGTGATCACGAGGCAAGCAGCAGACGCTCCCCAGGCGCACTGCAAATGAACTCCGTGTTGGGCTGCTTGGCTGGGAGGGGCGCAAGGGCTGCTTGGGCACCGGGAAGCCCCTAGCTGAAGACCTGCCCTGGCATGAGTCCTCCCGCCGGGCTCGAGGCAAGTCAGCCCGCCTTTCCCACTTCCAGCTGCAATGCTGGGATCCCCGTACTAACAGACCTTACAGGGACGCTGTAGGGGTTGCGATGCGGAAGAGAGAGCATTGCAGGGATTAAGAGAGGGAAGACTGGAACTCGCCATCAGTCCTAACCATTCCGTGGGACTTGAGGCGCACCCATTCTCTCAGCAGAGATCACGTTTACTGTGGCTCTGCCCCTGTGGTGCTCTCACCTGCCCACCCACCTAGGTACCCGACAGGTGCTTCAGTCTGCCTCGGAGTAGCTTTATCTCAGCTGCAAATACAGTCCCCACACTCCACGGCCACAAGTGCACTTTCTGGCTGTTCAGTGCAGTGTGTAACACAGCCATGCAGCCCAAAGGAACATATGCCTCTCCCAATGGCAGCATCACAGAGGGTAAAGCTGCTGTTACATGAAGGCGCATGGGCTGTGCAGTCACATGTCTAGAGCTCTCTGCCCCTCCCGCAAAGTTTCAAGCTACCTCGTATCTTTTTGGGTAGCGAGAATGGCACATGCATCCTTTCGGAAAATCGGCGCGGAGGAAAGGTTTGCTACGCCACGTCGGACCCTCAGTGAACCCGACACAGTACGGCCCAGACCAGCCTTCCCCAGCCTGGCGCGCCCCAGATGTTCTGGGTTGTAGTTCCCAAAATTCATGACCATTAGCTATGCTGGCTGGAACGGATGGAAGATGGAGACCAAAACATCTGGAAGGCACCACCTTGGGGAAGGCTGGTTAACACTGAAGTTTCAGCCGCGAGTTGCCCAACCCTTTTTGAAGATGTTTGGGGACCAAACCTGGAATCGTCTGCCTGCAAACAGCTGGGCTGCTGCCTCTGCCCTTCCTCAAGCCACTTTCCTCGGCGCCGCCCAGATTATCAGTCTGACGCCAACAAGCACCTCTTGGAAACCGAGTGCCATTACGTAAGAGACTTACAACCTAAGTGCATATGCTAAATCTCCTGGCGATTTCGATTTTTAGCATTTTCCATTTATATAAGTTACTTAAACATAGGGTTAAAAATAAAATGCCAACAATAGCCACCAAATAATACCCTGTCACAAGCGAAGTTCTAGCCCTTTCACTTAAATGCCATCAACACAAGCCCTTTCTCCGTGATCGCAATTGTGCGGTCTACCCACACAGGGCCCGCAACGCTCTGCCACACACACACTAATGAAGCCAGGGCATTAAATCTCTCTGGGCTGGCCCTGCCTGGCATGAGGGGAGTCCTCATGTGCCTTTCAGCACACAGCAAGGCGCTGGAACTCCGTGTCAATCAGCAAGAACGAATGAGCGTTGGCTTCCCATCACATTTCCACTGCGCTCGAAATTCAGTCTTTCCATAAATGGATAACACAAATAACTTTATTTAGCTGTCGAGTCTGCATTTCTTGAGATGGGGCACGAGCACACGTTCAACATCAACTTCCTGAGTCTGTGTGAGAGGCCAGGATTACGTTGCCACTTCATCTGATGTACGTGGCGAGAAAAAATGAAGATGCGCTCACGAAGTAACGAAGAAAAGCCCTCTCGTGAAGCTGAACTTCAAGGGGAGAAATGAGAAGCGGCTTTGGCGAAGGTGAGACTCTGTATTTGCAGTGGCAAAAATTATGTATACAGATTCGGTTCTAAGGACAGCCAGTAAAGCACACTCGGATAAAATATTTTATTGCCAGAATTTCTACAGAAGGAACAAAAAGTTTCTTTCAAGATCTAATACTCGTTCATGTCCTAGTGTTTGCCATAGAGAACCTTAGGTTCAGGCACTCTCCTATACCAGCCATGTGATAATTTTTCGCCGTGTTGTTCTGAAGCAGCCCCCATGAGCTCTTTCCTTCACAACATGGGCCTCTGTGAAAGCATCTCGAGATGTTATCAGATCATTCAGGAGCTGCTGAAAATACATCCTTCTGACTCTTGGGAAACTTAGGTGGCTTGGCTGCATTCCTGCCACCATGGGAGTAACGCCGCTGAACCGGAAGGCGAACAGCATCCATCAATTCACTTGGGAGGGAAACAGCCGGAAGCTGGGTCATGTCACCTTAGTATATTTGCTGGTGCCAATGGCGCTATGCATCAAAGACTCAGCCACGGCGTGCGGAAGAGATCTCTTTAAAAATGGCCACACCTTCCCCCACGCTGTTCTGTTCCTGATACAAAAATCTACCACGCCGTGGCATGTAGAGCCCTGCACCAAACGTGAAGGCCCTTCACACACACACACGGGCTCCTTCCTGCATCAGGATAGTCTCTTCTAATAATACCGACAGATGGCTACAGAATTAATTGCCTCTGACATCTGTACATTGTAAATCTTCTTTGGGAGGCTTTCCAGGACTGCAGCGTGAGCAGTGGAGCAATCAGCTGGGGCCGTCCCTCAGCTCCTGACAGACAAAAGCTTTTTCCTGTGGCTTCTGCGAAGGAACCTTAACCGGATTGCTGTGTTGTGTGCCGCCAAACCAGACAGGACAGGTCTCTCCTCTCCGAGACGACGGAGTCGATTCAAACCCATCGGACTAGGACATGTCTGTACAACGCGGTACTTCCAGTATTCACTCTGAACTCAATAAAATTACAGAAAACCCTTCCTGCAAATGGGTCTCCAACTTGGGCCCACAGGCACTGCCAAAAGCCCTTGCTTTGCAACCTGGACGAACGGCACCCCATTTTCTAGCAATCATGCGTAGGCTTGGACGAAAGCTGGCCAAGTGGGCGAGCGAGTGGCAGTCTGGTCACTGCACCGTAAGGCCCTCCGTCCATCGCATGATTGTGAGCGAGCGTCCATCTCTGAGGTTCTATGACATCAGCCTCTTTTGTGGAAAGGCTTCCGAGAAGCCACCTCCTTCCATGCATTAATGTCCATGAAGCGGGACAATAATTTGAAATAATCGCCTTGGCCATGGCTCTGCTCGTTCAAGTGTGCGTTCCACAGTTACGATCCGAGGATCTTTCTAAAAGAGGCAGCACGAGCTCTGACTCTGGGCGTCAGGGTGGCTGCACTACCCAAAGTGGCTTGGGGTCGAGGCAGCCAGAGAAAGGAACGTACCCCCTAAATAGGCAGCCTTATGGAGCACTGAACAGACTCCTGGTGCATAGGCACACCACGGGAAAGCTGTTTGTGGCTGGGCTGGCAGCAGCAATTCTCCCTTCCTTGGTGTGGAAGCGCCCTCCTCCTCTCCTTGCTAGCACACTAATCTAACTCCTGCTGGACTGAGATTTTTCCAAGGCAGGCGAATGCTCTGGGGCTTATTTTGAATCTGGAAAGAGAGCGCACTCCTTGGACACGAGGAAAAGATTCATCTTGTGAGAGGCTCTGTGGATCTGCGTGAAGGGACAGTGCTGAGACAGCAGAATGGACACTCGGCGAAAACTATTTCAGGGAAAGGAGATATCTTCTGTGAAGCATGCATGGATTAGGGAAACTGTTGCCCAGTTAAATGTGGGATTAATCTGTCCCTTTCGGCAGCTGCTGCAGGCAAGTGAAACAGTATGAAGCCACTGGATGCCCAGGAGTATTTCTGAGCTGAGTACAGCTACAGTCTTTGCACAGGTGTGTGATTTAATTTTTAAGTAATATTAATATCCCATCTTGTAGATCAAACATTGACTCTCAAGAGGACTTGCAAGCGGTTAAAATGTACGATAGCGTGCAGTTGACACCATGAAACCAGACTGCCTTAACTCTCTAGGCCAGGGCCCTTGAAGCAAATGCTTCTGGCGATCATGGAGGCTCTAATGCGGCGAGGAAACCCGTTTGAGCCCCTCACCCCTTCTTCCTCGGCAACGTGAGTGGGCGCTTCACCAAGCATCAGAACAGGGGGACACAGGGTGCTGAAAATACTGCCCGCCTGCCATGACTGCTCACCCGTCAGCCCCGCTGCTGAGTCAGGTGCGAACGAAGAAGAAGCTGTCCCCATGAGAACACGCGTGACCTTTGTCGCTGTCGACTGGCCTGAACAACAAGGGTCCCTAGCTTTTAGCGAAACAGTGCCAAAGAACCTCGGCTCCTCTTTAAGGACCCACCGTTCCCTCAGGATCCAGGCGGGCTTCACCTCTCTTGGGAGGGTCGAAGGGTTGGATTCGGGGCCTGAAGAAGTGAACACCCAAGGAGCCAACTAGCGAAGCAGAAAATGTCTACAAGAAGGACCAGGAGTAAGCCTGCTGAACGGAAATCTCTCCTTCTCTCCAAGCAGCCCGGCAAGAGGTAGTCTGGCCTAACGTGCCACCGGGTAAGGCCACTCGGACAGTGCCCGGGTTGAGTGTTATCCAAGTCTCTGGCTTTTTCTGGCAATTGTGTTTCAAGCTGTTTCTAGCAGGAGTGTTCCTCCTGAAGCCATCTGCAGCAACTTCATTTTTACACGGAGAGAGAATGTTCATAACTTTAAATTTATTTATTTTGCTATTTATTTATTTATTTATTTATTTATTTATTTATTTATTTATTTGATTTATATCCTGCTTTTTTAAAAAAAAAGGAATTCAAGGTGGCATGCATCATTCTCTTCCTCCTGCCCTCCATCTTATCCCCACAACCTGTGAGGTTGGTGGGGCTGAGAGCCTATGACTGGCCCAAGGTCACCCAGTTGGCTCCATGGCTGAGCAGACTGGCCGAGCCCCAGTCCAGCACTATACCACACCTGTCCTTGTACTGTTTTTAACGTTGCATTTAAAGAGTTTGATTGCTCCGTCACATTGCCAGGGCCAAGAAATCGGTGCCGCAGCAGCCAGCTTCAAGCTGCCCCGTCCGCGGCTTGATTCTGGACAGGAGTTGTGCTTTTTGAGGAATAC